CCACCTCAGTGCATTCCTAGAGGACAAGGACACATACACCAATTTCGTCAAATTCATCAACAACTTAAACTTAGCAGACTATCACACCCCAACTGCTACTCAAGACAATATTCCAGCTAACTCTCCGAATAGGCATAGCCAGACTCCATAACTCCAGGACCCAAGGACAACAACAAAGTGCCACATTCTTCTAGGACTTAATCGGATTCCTCCATAAGGGTGTTTCTCCTTCCTCGTATCACTCTTCAGTACCCATCATTTGCCTTCAATCGTAATGTAAGTCCAATCACGGCGCCAATTATCGTTTAGGTGCATCATCTATCTGTCATTATGTACAAACATTATAAATGTAATTTTGTAATTCTGTTTTAATAAACAAATAAATAAATAAAAACAAAAACTTATACTGAAATGAATAAATAATATAACTAAAATAAACCTTTAACTATCCAGCAATAAAAAAATGTTTAATAAAAACGTTTTCAACCGTTTTTAAACAGCCATCTTCAGTTGAACCAATATTAAAAAAGAACACTAAAAAAGAACGCATGAAATACAAATTAAACAGAAACTGAAATGCACATGCGTAATTCATCGGACTTGTGTCTTCTGAAAATCTATAAATAACTTGCAAATAATATAAAAATAATAAAGCCGCCAAAAAAAAAATGTTATGAAAGAAAAATTATTAAATGTATTCATGATTGTTATGTCAAGGTAATTTATTTTATTATTGTTTTCTTTTTCTATATCGAATTGAGTATTTTCGATAAATTTGTTAGCGGCGTTCAGAATAATATTATCGTTTGTTACTCTATTATTGTATATTAGTAAATAGTCGTCCGCATATCTCATTACTAGTTTTACGCCTGGGATATTATTTATTTTTTCATCTATGTTTATCATAGCTAATTCAGCTAATTTTGGCCCCATCTTTGATCCCATACTGATGCCATCTACTTGTCTATAGAAGTCTGCATTAACTTTAAAATAGTTTCTGGTATATGCAAAATGTATCAGATTAATTAAAGTTTTATCTACATTTAATGTAATTAGGTACGCCTTCCTCTATTAATTTCTATTTTATATTTGGGTACATATATTTGACATCAAGACTTATTAGTTTATCAGTGTTTCCTTTCTGTATTTTCAGTATCTTATTTATAACATCATCAGCGTTTTTTACGGTGTACTTAGAATGATCGATGTCTATTAATTGTTGCTTGATATATTGTTCTAAGTTGTAAAGTATAGAAAATCTAAAATCTACTAAAGGTCTGAATTTTTCTTCATTTTTGTGAGTTTTTAATCTCATATTTAGTTTAGGGCATTTGTCAATATCAGCTATCATGTTTGTTGTTATAAAGTGATGGGTAAGTTATATTCTATTCCTAATGCTAGGAAATGTCTTACATATTTAGGTATTAGTACTTTAGAGTTATTTATGATTAACTTATTTACCCAAGAGTTTTTTTCCTTGGGTGTTGGGTATGAGAATAACTTGTGTAGTTTCATATCTTTTTTATATTTATAATCATTTGCTATTCCTTTATATGGGTTATCGTTATGAATAGATTTATGTAAAACTTTTTTTAATTGGTAATTATAGTTCTTCCATTTTTTATGTTTAAATCTAATGACGTATTTTATTATCATTCGTTCAATTTTCCACACAGCATGTTTAGGTATAATGTTTCTGATTGATGTTTTTAACTTCATTGTATTTGGTGTATGTTCTTCCCTTAAAAAGCATCTTAGGTAGCATCTGAATTAAAAAAGTGTTTTAAATTAACCATAATGTTTTCTAACTAATTGCTGTTTGATCGTCTACCAAAATTATTGTTTAGATTGCAAAGACGCTACACACAAAATTAGTAAAAAGATATCTCAGAAAAGTTGTTCTCGTTCAATTTGAAAGTGTGGAGGATCTGACAATCGAATGGAGTCCCAAAAACATTTTATCTGTTAACTGGTCTAATGTGGAGGACAGCCAAGCCTTATAAGAAGAATTCCAGATAACACAAAAGACTGAAGGTAAGATATTTTGTACAGTCGAGCATGTCGGTGCATTCCACGTAAGGTTTAATTTTCGGATGTAATTTTTATGGTACAGTACATGATAACATTTTAATTCAAAATTTTCAGCTATGATCAGACAGTAAGATGATTGCAATTGCCATGGCATCTTCATAAAACATATAGTTATTCCCCAGATCATTATTTGTGGAATAAACCATTTTATGAAAATGTTTGCAATCACATTTTTACACATTATTATTATTTAATAATGCTGTACTATTAAAGTACAAAATAATTATAAAATTATAATTATTTTTTACTTTTTGTTTATATAAAGGAACTTTATGACAGGCTGATTGGGCCGAATAATCACAAATCTATTGTACTCTATCAATACAGTGGGGTATGCTAGAATAAACATAATTAGTTCTAGAACCTCATTCATTATAGCATCTGTTACACTGAAATATATTTACTGTATGTGTTTAAGATAATCCATTATTCTGGATAGTAACATTGTTCCAGGTCCATAGCCTAGAGCAAAGTAACCATCCAATACAATCATTTAAATAGGAAAATATAATATAAAATCAAAAATAAGTAAAGTATAAACAATCTTTCCTTAATGAAATCTATTAACAAACTTTCCTTAATAAAAAGCACAATCTAATGTGCATTGAAAATCAAATAATTAAACCTTCTGAACCAGAATAATGACGACAACTGACTCTCTAATCGAAGTGGGATGGCCCTAACACGCCATTTGTGTACACCTGTTATGTTGGCCGATTGTATCAAAATGAATTAATTCAATAGAAAAACTGAATTCATACAACCAAAGAAATATTTCAAACTAGCTTACCCGTCGCGCATTGCTGCGATCTCAGAAGAAAGGAAATTCAAGCAAACTCGTTATGATAAAATTCAATTTACATTTTATTATTTTTATTGAAACTTATTATTATTATTCATTTTCATGGGAAAAACATTTCAAAGTGTCGTTTCAATTCTATTTATTTATTGGAGTGTTTGTGGATACACGATATTTTTTGTTTTTCCCTCTGGTGTGTACACGAATAAATCGGAAGGTTTTTCGACGCGTGAGCCGGCCACATACAGTTGTCCATGCGAGAAGCACGGATTCTCCAAATTTAGCCCACACACTCGCTGCGATTGTCAGAAGTGCGATATTCCCCATTTTTATATATATATTTTTAAATCCTTTATAATTTTCATTATTTAATTGCTCCTTCCTTTCTTCCTTGGCACGTTGTGAAATTTCTGAGAGTTGGATAATAAACCGTTTTATTGTAATTTGTCTTTTTAAATTATTTTGAGTCGATATTAAAATTTGGAAAAGGGGGGATACCTAGATCGGTAAAATACGCGAATTTCTTCCTACAACTTCGGTTGTTGTTCGGGGTACAGTTAAGGTTTTAACGAAGCTCGAGGGAATACATAATTAGCAAAAAAAAAGTTGAAATAAAGTGATTAAACAAAAATTATTATACATATCGTAAATAACAGTTCACAAATGCATATATAGAGATATTTTTTAAGGGGGGAAATGGTCTTCACAATTTGAAATCGATCGGACACACTGTGCGCGAATGCTCGTGTAAACGCGCGCCATCTATCGTAGGATAAATGTACTTCGCGGGAGTGTATTAAAAATTAAAAAAAACTTTCCAAAGTTTTATGGCAATCGTACTATGCCACAAACCTTCGCCAGAGTATATTAAATAACTTCCCAAAGTTTCACTTCAATCGGACAAACGGTGTGGCAATGCATGAAGGACACACACACACACACACAGACACACATACATTCATTTTTATATATATAGATTAAACTAAAAAATCCAAGCTTTTGTCATAAATTGTTTTCAAAAATTTAATAGCACTGATTAAATCTTATCCTTTATTCTGTAGAAGCTAGAATTATACAAGGTTACCATTGTAGAAAGAATTCTGACTCTTACAGAACAGAGTTATCATCATATTCTATTATACAAGCTGTTCCAAAATGTCTAGACACACGTAATGTCTCTACGGATGATAATAGGTCAAAATAAACAACAGCAGTATACGTTATGCATCATAACATGTACTTTCATTGCTTATTTTGGCTTGCCATCATCCACAGAGACATTACATTACTTGTATCCGACCTTTGGGACAGCTTATCCATGGTTACTTACTGTGTTGACTGAGGATAACTCCTACATCTGCAGTTTATCATCCACTATGGCCGGCTATTGCTTTACCCTGGTATGGTGTATATACACCATACCAGGGTAAAGCAATAGCCGGCCATAGTGGCATGATTATAGGACACAGATGTAGGATTTGTTTCCAGTTGGCACCGTAAACGTAGAAAACATATTTATAAAGTATCAAAGCTATTCCTAATATTATAAATACAGTCAAGTCCGCTTAAGAGAGCACTCTCGGTTACCATGTTACACTACTTGCAACAATGATCGATTTTGTTTTGAACAGTAAACATATAATGCCATCAATTCAACACAATTTTTTAATTGTCTCTATTTCAGACAAGTAAAAATAAATAGTGTATGCGTCAAGGAAATACAATAATAAAAAATCTGACAATATCTGAAGTCTTACAAAAAGAAAAATAAGTTTTTACATGGACAATTTAACTCGTTACAAGTAATTCATAGGCTTTGTATTACAGAGAAGATTTGGAATAAAGTTTTGTCATTTGTACATTTAAATTTTTCATAAGAAAATTGCTTGGGAAAGAAATTACAATTTCTATGGTCAAAAATATTTATTACTAAATGAAAGAAATAATAATTTCAATATGAGCCGTTAGCTGATAAACAAAACTTACTCTACCATCATAACAAACGATCCAAATAAATTTTTCAACTACATTTTATCTAGAATTTACATAGTTTGACATGTCTTTTTACAGCATAGATTCATAAAAATTAAATCATTTAATATATTCTTACCTGTTTCGGTTTGTCGACGAATCTTGCTAATCGATAGTCGTCTTCGGTCCATTGCTAAATAAAGAAAGAAAATATTTTTTAATAAATATTATTCAACAAATACAATCTTACAAAACATAATTTCAAGATGTAAGTGTAATAAGAGTTTTTTAGATTAATATTTATAGTAAAATAATTAGAATTATTTATAATTAAATACAAAACCAAACCCAACATATAATTAAAAAATACAGCCGGATTCGTATCGGACTATAATATGGCAAATTAAATATTAAAACACAAAATAATCTGGATTAAAGATAGACAGAGATAGACAGACAAAGATACCGTATCAACTATACTGTTAAGAGATTTGCTGTATTTGGAGGAATTATATGGAGAAATGCCATCTTGTCACTATCAAAAACCAGCCTTTGCTTAATATATTTTGCAAATTTCTGTTGATAATTGACTATTGACCATCCATCAGGCCTTGGCCTCAAATATCCAGAAAGGCAAAAACAGTAAAGTAATATCTAGAATTTATTTGCATCTAAATAAGCTTGCTAATTTATCACACACCGATTTACCCGACATCACTCGTCTTTGTCTAGCCTTTCCAAATTTAGAAGACAGAGCTGCTTACTTCGATAAAATTCTTACCTAAAAATATTTTAATGGTTTTATTTCACCCTTTTATTTTCACTCTCATAATTCCTCTTGTTTTTTTACCTTCCATTTTACATAATTTTAGCAGCAACAAGTCCAATTTGTAGAATGACACTTGTAGAAAATGTTTTTTTAATTGAAAAAATGTTCATTCTACACTGTAAATATTTCACATAACTGCTAGAATTTGGGCATATGATGTAAGCTGATAGTTTCTCCAGTTACATAGTAGTTTTATGTAAAGTCATAGACCTGTTGTACCATGATTTTTCCATATTTAAATGCATTTGCAGAAATGCATCGTATGTATTTTAGCTGTTGTTTGCATGTTATTTTGTTACCTTTTGTGTTACTTTTATCTTGGAGCTCCTTTGCTATTTGCTTGGGGAAGCTGTTTTTGCCTGGATGGCATCACCTTATAAATATTTTGTAATAAAGAATAAAGAATATACAACATGCATTACCAATGTGAGAGTTTCTGCTGATATATTTAGTGCAGAGGATTGATGCTGTACAGTACAGAACAGCGAAATTAAACTGTTTATTAAATATATGTAATATGTGCATTATAAAGTTCTTCCTAGTGAGAATTTGAGAATAGCATTTAAGAAAAAATAGGATAATTGTTTTGGTTTCTTGTTATGTCTGTTCAAAACAAAAGAGAAATAAAGAAAATTGTAGAACAGAATATATCGCAAAGGGCATCTGAACTCAGTTCCTTTTCTGGTGGTTTTTGCTTATAGAGATGAGTTAACAAAATGAGTTCCAGTGACACCAGCATAGACAAAATCTTGCTTATATATAAAAAAATATAGGCAAGACTTACATACTTTATATGTGTAGATACAGAATGTTCCATAAGTCTGGCTACATAGGAGTTAAGACTGTTTTGTAATTATCAAGAAAATAATCCATGCAATTTAAAAATGATATTTTGACAAAATTATCTATATGATGTACACATACATTTACAGATCCACCAGATTTCTAGCACGGCTTGAACTAGAAAATCCACCTGCAAACTGCTTACAAAAACTGATCTGTATGATTTTACACCATTGTAAAATGACTGCCAAAGAAGAAAATTTGATTGCAATGCAAAACTGCATCCACCTGTTTACTGCATCACAGAGTTATTGTAAAACAGGCATAAAATGGTTCAAGTAAGGAGGAACAAATTCAAATTATTTTGACAACAAGGGCTCTCAGTCAGCATAAAGCTACCAAAGACTCTAAAAGGCTTCAGTCAGAATTCCCACTAATCACATACAAGTCTGGTTGTAGTCTTTGGTGGTTTTGTGATAACAGAGTCCTCGTCATCAAAATAACTCAAATTAATTCCTCTTTGGGGCACTTTCGCACTACAACCGACCGAACCGACCAGAGCATCGAATACACTTATGTCAGTGATCGATTCGTTATGGCCAATCAGAACAAGCATTACAAATCAAAACACTGGCCAATCCTTGTACGTTCTTCTAATTTTTTAAAAATATCTTCATTATTTGCCACATAATATCATAAATTGGTGGATATTATCTATCTTACTTTGTTTATCAATGATTCTGAAAAGTTTTTTTATACTGCCAACTTTTCTCATTGCGTAGGATTTTGTAAATCCAAAGTCCAATTGTCTGTAGCTTCTAAATGCTTGGCCATAGCTCGCCAGCCAATCCGGCTCGACCACAGATATTTAACACTTTTAAATCCGTCCAACTGGTACGACGAACGAACTGCTGCCGTTGTCACGGAAACACGACTCGGAATCGGTCCAGTCAATTTTCATGCAAAATTGCCCTTAACCAGTGCCACACTTCACCTGTAAGATAATAAACAGTCGTCAACGTAACTCCTCTGTGGCCCATATATTATTATTACGTACAGAAGTGGGAACAAATGCAGCTCCAAATGAAACAGTTCAGGCCTTATCAGAGTGGTAGACCACGTGCATGAAAATACAGGGGGGCGTTCAAACCCCCATTCAGAACTGCAATTTTACCCACAAGGGGATGCTGACGTACGTAAACATTTATCATTTTACTACACGATTCATTCATTATAAAGCATTTTAATTAATCATAAATGGAAAAAGAAAGCACTCGAACCTGTCCCGTGTGAGTTACTTTCTCTTCGGGTTCCCAATCCCTTTTAGTGCAAACACTTCGCCATTTAAAGTTCCAACTTCTCGAACGGCAAACGGCACGCATCACCGCCGCCATTTTAAATGGCCGCTGACTCGAAACGGCGGTTTCTCACTTTTGCCACTTAACTAATAAAAACAGAATTATATATATATATATATATTAAATTATTAACTATTATTTAAAATTNAATGAATGCCCCCACCAGTGGGCGAGTGGTCTCCGTTGCCGCTCATAGCGGTGACCAGACCCTAAACACTGGGAAGTTCGGTCGTGGGTTCGCGCCACGATCGGACAAGCTGGCATAATGTCTTAGAGCAAATCACATTCACAAATAGAGTCCGCGATGTACAGTACTGTAAAGTGTAAACAATGAGTGAGTATTCTGTTAGAAGTTTTATTCTTATATTTTATAATATTATAGCATATAATTGATTTTTAAAAAAAATGGAGTTTAGAATAAGAGATTCTAAACTCCATTTTTTTAAAAAATTAATTATATGCTAATTTAGATACGTAAATAACTTTTTATGATTAATGTTACATATGGTGACAAAATGGCGGTGCTTCCGGTAATCTCAAAAGTGTTGTTGTAACCTTTATGGAAGTTTTCTCTACAATTATCAAACGACCAAGTTATTTCTAATAGTTTTTTGTTAAAAACAATACGTTCGTTGTTAATTTTAAGTGTTTGGTTAATAGTATAATAAGCTAATAATGAGTTATTCAGACATTAATTCCGACGATTTTTGGTCCGGATGTACCACCCGTAAATTTTACCAATTACTGGAATTGGAGTATTCGGAAATGGGTTTGGATCCAAGGATTGATAATGCTTTTAAATTTGCAGTAAAGTTAGGATTACAACATACCGAGGATGTGTGCATTTTCTGTTCAAAACCGTGTAAAATATTCTATCGAAGTGATAGAAATTCGTGCCTTCTACGATGTAGTAATTGCGGGAAAAAGTTTTCAGCTTATGATGGAACTTTTAAGGGTAAATGTGGTAATATTTCTTGGGCTGGAATTTTGACATTTATATGGCATTACCTAGGTTTGGAGTGCACCTCGGCAAACTCGGCTTTCGCCGCGGGTATTTCTACGAAGGCCGCCGTCGATTGGTCCAACCATCTACGTTTAGTAATGCTTATCGCTTTGCACAATATGACCTCATTTAAAATCGGAGGTCCGAATAAAACCGTCGAAATAGACGAGACGTTAATATGTAAACGTAAATACGAAAAAGGGTGTAAACTGAAAAGTGCAAAATGGGTAGTAGGCGGAATATGTAGGCAAGACGATAGTTGCTTTATTTGTCAAGTAAATGATAGATCCGAAAACACGCTTAATTGGGTGATATCTAAATTTGTAAAATCTGGAAGTCTCGTATTAACTGATGAATGGAAAGGATATAACCACATAAACGACCTGGATGGATTAGAAATTGAACATAGAACAGTCAATCGCTCGGAAGATTTCGTAAACCCGGAAATGGGGGATAATATGCAGAAAATTGAAAGATTGTTGGGTTGTCTAAAAAATGAAAAAAATCTGCCGAAGCATTACACAGAGGATCTGTTGGACTCGTACATTTATTCATTTATGTACAAAAGGTTTATGAATTGGTCGGCCAAAAAACCTGGAGAAAGATTTCAAATTTTCGTGAAGCATTTATGTATGATTTATCCGGGATCCGGCCGGATACCAAAATGGAAAGAACCAGAGACTGTGCCCATTGCTCCTGTTTCTAATATTAAGAAGAAAGAAAAAAATACAAAAGAAATAAAATCAGATAGCTCAACAGAGAAAGTGAATAAAACTAGGAAAAAAAGGAGTTTGCCAAAAGGAGAGTCAAGTTCGGTTGGGACAAAACTTCAAAAAATGGGAAAAAAGGATCAATAATGTAAGTAATTTTAAGAATTTAATTTAAAACCATATTATTAAATTTAGAAAAAAATCCCAATTCAAATTATTGTGACTGTAGTACATCATACACCTGTTTATTGGTTACTAAGCAGTCTCAATCGCATTCAAAATGGCAACTGGAAGAGTCGCCATTTTAGTCACCACAGGTAACATTAATCCTTTTTAATTGTCGAATGCAGTTTATTATAAGCTGTGGTAGAAGTGACATTCTGGGTTAAGATGTGATCTGTGAATGAAGGATTTGCCAACTCCATAAGAGCAAAATGTCAATGGAACGATACCCATACGTGCGATCTTTCGCCAGATATTTGTGTCTCTAAAGATCAGTTTTTACCACCGGTACTACTGTCTATTCTCTGCTCTGCATTGCTTGCTGTTACTCACCTTGACCGACGTTTTGCATGTAGTTTGTATACTTCAGCGCAAGCAACGACTCACATCAAACACCTGCCTGGAGATGAGCTCCTGTCCCCCCTAAAATTATATAATTAGTACTCCATGAATAGTCAAGTGGGCTAATTGAAGCTGGCATAGTCACCTGGGCTAAATAGTTAAACATGATGGTATTAATCTGGGTAATTGAGCAAAATATGCGACTATGATTACAACCATTTTGGACTTCAATAAACGCTCTTGGAACATGCAGTGTGACTTCCAATTGCATGCAGCTGATTTTGGGAGATGTATCTTGCAAAACGGTTGAGTAGAGGTGTGGTTCCTTTGATTTTTTTTTTCCTGTTGTGGGTATGACCTAAGGCCTCATAGGGTCCCACCCATCTCATTCAGAGGTGTAATTGTACCATTTTGGGTACTCTAAATCTATGTAAATACAGGGTCTTCCAAAAAGAATGTTGCCATTTTAAAAATTATTTTATTTATATTAATTATTATGTGCAAATAGCTGGACTTATGCTGTTGGATGAAAAAACAACATTGCATAGATCTACAAACACAAGACAAATTGTGGAATATTCACATTATCGGACAAGTAACGACATAAGACAACAAAATAATTTGCCACTTGCTTTTATATTTGTTGTCTGAACTTGTTTAGAATTTTGTTTTACCAATACTTGGCAACATTAGCCATACAGTTATACCTTGGGTTACGTCATTTTGAGTTAAGTTGTTCTTGATTATACATCGTTTGTCCAAAAAAAAAAAAATGTATGGAAAAATAAAAATTAAGTTTAAGTCATTTTATTCAACTTTACATCTGCCCGCCACAAATATTGAAGTTGTAATATCACTATAAAAGTGTTAAAAGCATATAAAATCATATTAAAATTCATACATTTACAGTAAATGTTAATATAATCATCATAAATCCTAGAGAACGAAATATGAAAACAAAAACATCTGTGACTCTATGTTGTCATCTTATTTAGTGGTTTTTAACAGCTCAATATTGGCATTTTCCACAGTAGTACCAATATCTACTATTTGGCATCATTGTCAGCGCCACTCAATAGTGGTAAATTTAACATAAATTAGTTTATTTTCTACTTTTGCAAAATAATTTTAATAACTGTATTTGTTATTTAACGTTACAAAGTTATCTTATTTTATAATGTCTTAGAGCAAATCACATTCACAAATAGAGTCCGCGATGTACAGTACTGTAAACGTGTATATTTACAAGTATGTACGTACATGTATTCGTAAATTTAGATTACTTTTTTTCTGTACTATATTAAAAACTAAAATTTATTTGTTTGTAAGCTTAAAATAGATTCTTATTAATCATATATTATTAAAAATGCATTTATAAATAAAATACAGGATTGGGAATGGTTATTTTGTGATTTAGTCTAGTGACAAGTAAATTTGACTTAAGTCGCCTCTCCTGGAACAAATTACCGACGTAAGGCAAAGTATACCTGTATTACTGAATGAAGATGAACCCAAAATCAAAAGAAAGCATATTTGGGTATACAAAATGTTGAAGAAATGCAAAGTGGAAAATATCAAGCTTTTCTAAACCAAAAGTTTTCTTTCCAATTGTTATCGCTGTTGGATGAGACAGGTCTCTGGATAATTATGTACAAATTATCTTAAGTTTTCACAGTCCATTTCTCAAAAATACAAAATATAATGTATCTTTACAATGCAAACATGATGATACCTAATTGCAAAATCATTAACACTACACTGTGCATCAAAGATGTGAATAAACATAAGCATTCCTTCTTGGATTGTTGGTTATCATTGTTGTGATGTGCCCTTTTTGCCAATTACACATAGTGTGAATGTGACAGTTCAAATTTAATAAAATAATAATTTGTCATGTTATTTCTTGTCTGATAGTGTGAATCAACCTAATGTTGCAATATATATTAAAACAATGGAAATCACATTTGCCCATTAAAATGACTCAATCATTTATCTTATGTTACACATCTGATCAATACTCAAATTCTTCCTATGCCAGCTATGGCATATCTGTTGTTGCCCCTCGTACAGCAGCCGCAATTTTGCAGATAACATGAAACACTTTCTCTATTGCAGAGTTGCCATTTTTCTGATGATGAGATGATAAATGCAGATGAGGGATGAAACTCAGACGATCATTCTATCAATTGATGTACGTCGCATGCTTATTGGATAATAATTAGAATAATGGGGTCAAAGTGAATAATGAATATATATTTATTAATAATCTAAAAGCAACTTCTGTTTTGATGTATGAAAATAATGAAAATCTCCAATTATTGTATCTTTTGCTTGATGTCCAAAGGAATACTTATTTAGATTTTTGATATCTTTAATACAACTGTTTAACATTAGAATGCCTAATACTTTTATATAATATTCATATAGTAATATAATTTAATATAAATACATTATGAGAAATGTTTTTGATCCCAATAGGATCTGCGTCAGGTCAAAAGTGTACAATAGTATTAGATGCTAGATGATCAAATTTAAATATTTTAAAATTGCACACCAACCAAAGCCAAGTATTATCGGGCTAAAAACAGCTATAATACTAATAATTTAAAGACAATTTGGCATTAGAGTTAGGTGTTAGGCACCATCTCTTGATAAATTTAATAATTATAATCTAATTAAATAATTTAAAGTTACTGGAAGAAAAGAATTGGCCCAAAGTGGGACTTGAACCCGCAACTTCTGCTTACCGTGCAGATGCATTGCCAATTATGCTACCCGGACCTTCAGTCCAATCTCCTCTTCCAGCATGTAGAAGCTAACAATATAACCATCGATGGTTATTACAATGGGTGTTATAATGACATTTGATTATTGTATATACGCCTTGCTGGGGTTTGCAATGGCCGGTTGAAGTGCCTTGGGAGTTGTTTGCACATCGTGGGTGCTGAATGCGTCCCCAGCTGGCATTGTAATGACTGTTGATGGTTATATCATTAGCTTATATATGCTGGAAGAGGAGATCAGCTTGAAGGTCCGGGTAGCGTAATTGGCAACGCGTCTGCACGGTAAGCAGGAGGTGTGGGTTCAAGTCCTGCTTTGGGCCGATTCTTTTCTTCCAGTAACTTTAAATTATTTAATTAAATTTATCAAGAGATGGTGCCTAAATCTAATGCCAAATTGTCTTTAAATTGTTAGTATTATGGCTGTTTCTAGCCTGATAATATTCGGCTTTGGTTGGTGTGTCACTTTAAACGTATCAGGTGTTATAATGATGTTTGATTATTTTAAAATTATTTATACTAAATTATATTTGCTGGTATATTTTGAAGGTTTTGTTGGCATTATTTACTAGTGTATGGTTACACACTAGTAAATAATATCATAATATTCAATAATTAATAATTTTGGGAAGATTTATAATATGCATGATGCTAGATGAAAGTTCATAAAATTCCTGAAAATATCTTGAAATTTTAAATAAACAAGCAAATTTGATTTTTATTTCGTTGAAATTATGAAAATAATAATAATAAAAATTTTGGCAGGTAGGATAAAATTTTAAAAGTAACCTTGCATGTGGATAGACATGCAATGCTATCAAACCTGCTCATATCCACATATACACATACACATGGTAAACTGTTCAAAATAACTAGTTTAAGTCAGAGGTTGTTGTGATGACATAAAACAATGTAGAGGAGTGTTGCATGTCACAACAACAACCTCTAGATAATGCATACTAAAAATAAAAAAAAAAATAAAAATTCAGCAACAAGTTGCTTAACTTTCCTGGCAACATTTGGTGGTACCATCATATTTTACTTTAAAAAGCTTTTATATTAATTATTATAAAATGGCAAAAAGCTTAACTTTGGGGTAGGAATGAGTTTATAAAAAATTGTAAATGCTAATATCCAGTAAAATTATCATGTTTATTAATATCCCATGTGGTATAACATTGATTGCTCTCAATTAATGTCTGGATTTGATTGCTATCAACTTCATCTGTTCTACCCGATTGTAAAGCATCATCCAGCAAGAAATCTCTAGCATAAAACTTCGCAAACTATTTTTGAACGCTTGATCAGTCACAACACCTTCTCCGTATACTTTGTATCTAATAAAAGCTGCAGAAACGGCCAGAAATATTTGAAAAATACTTATTTTTTACATAATTTTCCATGTCGGGAATTTGAACAAGGCAATGGACATACTGTGCTATAAAATTAACCCACAATAGACAGAGCAGCATCCTCTCCTTGTATGATTTGCTACCAATGGTCATGTGATGTAGTGTTGCTTTTAGTGGGTGCCAACTTGGTAGGGAGCACTACTATGCGGGAGATTGGATGCAGATATTTTTATATAATTGGGATAAGCAAAAGCATCTTTAGCTTGCACCATGATCAGTTAATAAAACTTTCATGACTGAAGTGTGTGGCCTACATTATCCTTCTGATTTCTATTATCTTTTTACACTCTGTCATTTTTCGAGCAACATCACTTGATTATTGTTATGCAGTTTCTTTTTGTTTTTGGCTGGAAAATTTAGCAGAAAAATGAATAAAATCAGTCAAAATTAAATGGAGTTTGGACTACATTTTACATTTGCATTTAACATTGACTTCATTTTGTTTTGACCATTTTTCTCTTCATAAACAATACATATTTAATTAATTTTGCTTTTAAATTGTTTATAATTATACATTTTTATTATTATTCTAAATTTTATCACCTTACATTTGATTAGAAAATGTTGATGAATCTTTTTCTTTCAGATCAATATTAATTTGTGAAGATTTGTCGTAATTAGACAGCTTGCACTAAGAAGGTATTTTAAGATTTTCATTCACTAGTTCAGTGGTTTTCAACTGGGCTGCTGCTAAATATAGTTCCAAGCAGCACTGTAACATTTCTTACATATTACTAAAAGTACAAAAGGCACAATAACTCTACATTGATAAAGAAGTAGGGGTGCCGCAAGACCCAAAAACTACCAAGTTGGAATGCTGTTATTAAAACAAGAGGTTGAAAAACACTGTGCTATGTTTTGAATTATATATAGGATGGCCCAAAAGTCACTTAACCATGATATATTATTTTTTAAACGGTTAAAACAGATTCATCACTTTATTGGAATCAACCGAATCATCATTTTAAAAATATTAAAAATAAATTTCAGTTAACTGACTTTTGGACCACTCTGCATTACTTTAAACATCACAAAAATGAATAAATTGTAATCATAAGATAAACATCAGCTTTTTATGTAATATTTTCAGATTATTAAGAAGAAATGATTTACGGAAGTAAAATAATCGGTCTGTTTGGCCGTCTATCCAATCGATTATTCTACAAAATGCCGACAAATCTAACTTTAAAGAGAAATGTGGAATCGCCCGTTAATTTTATGTTTTCTTCTTTAGCCAGTAATACAAACATTCTACCAAAGTTTAAACTTCCGGGTGTCAGATACACTAATAATTTAAATTTTAAACAGATGGACGTATTGAGATTACGTTGTAAAGATTGCTATTTCAAAAAAATCGGTGATTTGACGTATGTGTTTTGCCGTACTCATCCCCGACACAAACAAAGGGAAAAGGTGCTAGACATCAGGCATAAATGGATCATTACTCATATTACTTACGGCAGGAAAAAATTTTAATAGTATGCAACGACAAATTAGTTCTTTTGTAAATGTTATATATCGATTGATTTTGAATTTCTTAATAGGACAATGAATATGCCAAAGTATATAATCTCAAAACTTTGAATTTTTTTTGTAATAAATCTATCTGAAATCATTTATTGTCTACTTATTCCAGAATTTCTGTGTTTTTATATCCAGACACCTTTATGATGAAGCAGTTTCTTAAATGATGCCATTCAAAACACTACTAATAAACTTCACTTCTAATACTGGAGGTAATATAATTCTCTCCACTTGAATAAAAACCTTTCAATCTCCAGTGTTATTCTTCTTGGCAAACGTTTTCAACCCTACCAGGGTCTTCTTCAGGCCACTGTTATAATAAATTCAAACAGTACAATATCGAACAGGAACCAAATAAATGCGATTCAAATCCTAGAACATCAACGTTAATATCAAATCTCTAATGCATGGAAATTTTGCTATGAAGGAACAACCCATAATTGAATGTAATATGGATTTATTACAAGCGCAAATTACGCAAGCTTTGACGTCATCGAAGCAAGAGCGTGGTGTTCTATATTTTTTATATTAATGTTGACGTTATAGGATTTGAATCGCATTTATTCGGTTCCTGTTCGATTTTGTACTGTTTGAATTTATTATAACAGTGGCCTGAAGAAGACCCTGGTAGGGTTGAAAACGTTTACCAAGAAGAATAACACTGGAGATTGAAAGGTTTTTATTCAAAACACTACTTTATTAGAATTAAGAAAGCATTTTCTTAGTCGGTTTTGTTCGTTGTTGATGGACAAAATTTGCATAAAATTCAAAGTTGGATTGGTTTTTGAAGTTACCTTCTTAATTGACTAATAAAACAGTGTTTTTGGAATGTTAATGAGTGATCTACATAAATGACACATTCTGTTTATTCTAGATTTAATATTTTTAAATAGCTGCAAAGTCTGTGTTTGTAAAAAAATATAAATATATATGTTCTAACTCTGACTCCAACCACAATATAAAATTTTAAGAAAATATTATTTTAACTTTCATAAATTACGATATGCTCTTAGTCTCAAGTGTGTACTTCTGTTCTAAGGCATAGCTATAATAACCATTAGACTTATAACCTATATTTAAGTCAAAAAAGTAGCCTAACAATTTGCGTAGCAGTAATAAATGTACTATTGAGGTTTTAGAAGGAATCCGAGATTTAAAAATTAAGGAGCTGAAGATAATAGCCACAGTTGTTATTCTACTGAATCGATCAATGCACCTTTAACAGTGGATGAAGTTTAAAGAACACTAGCAACTTTGACCAGTTAATTGGCCACATTCAGATAAGGTCAATCGAATGCAGGATTTTTCTGTTCTATTGGCCACGTAAACGGGGATAAATATCACTTCAAGATGCTCCTTCGAGATGGAGTTTGATTTATATTAAAACTTATGCCGTTTTCAGAGATGGCCACATAACTGAGGCATCTACAAAGAATTTTATTGTAATTTTAACTTTTCTCTAAATGGCCCATTAACCAGGTCAAAAATGTTAGTGTTCTTTAAACTTCTCATGCTGTTCAAGGTGTATTGATTAATCAGAGGAGCCAGTGTCGGAGATTTTTGTATACTAACTCTACACCATTTTTAAATATTTAGCTTGTTATTTAACAATTCAGTAAAGGCAAATTGCAAGATACCCTTTAAGGTATACATTTAGAAATTTACAGATCATTATTGTTTCTTAATGTGTTCATTGGTTTGAAACTTTAATTTGTAGGACTGTCAAGAAGAATGTGGTAATCACTCCAAGCACCTGAAATGTAAAACATTAGTGTAAGTTAAAAGGAAAAGTGTTGATTCAGAAATATTTACAGATAATCATCATTAAAATTGATTTTAAAAAACTAAGAAAACAAAAGAAGGAATTCAGTAAAGGAGTTAAAGGGCTGTTAACTGATTATTATTATTATTATTATCAACATATTATGTTTATGCCTGGATACTCATAGCATTGGATACCTGGATACCTCAGAGCAAGCTCATTTCTGACAAATAATACCTTGGCTAGTACATTAATATTTAGTTATTTCACCTTTGGCTTGTATAACAGAGTGCATAGATTATTCATTATATCAATGAGCCAAGCATTCAGTTGGACTAATTTTATCGCAAATTTGCTTGATGTTTTTGCTTTAAATCATTACACTTCTTTGAGGACTTTTTCTCTGTGTTTTTTTAATTTTTTATCCACATATTTTCAATAGGGGAAAAGTTGGGACTAATCAATGACCATTTTAATATGGTGATGTTATATTGGGTCAGCCAAGGCTTGGTGGTTTAGCAGTATGGCAGCTTGCACCATCCTGCTGGAAAATAAAATGTCCTTGATACTCTAATTTTTCTATATGGTAATAGGTTTTCCTCCAGGATTTGTTGGTATTTTGCTGCATTTACTGATTTTTCAATTAAATGCAAACTTTCCACTCGGGCTGACATGCAACCCCATACCATAACATTTGCTGGAAATTTTACAGTACACTGTAGACTGATGTTTCTCAATGGGGGTGATATCGCCCCCATGTGGGCGTATTTCCACGTTCAGGGGGCGATTAGCAACAATATATATTTAGGGGGGCGAAAAACAATTTTATGGACGATATAGTAAAACATTATATTAAGAATAATTAGATATTTTATTTGTTATATCGTTCAATAATTAAACAAATAACATTATACTAGTCACTAGTCTATTCAATGCAGTATGAATTGCTGTCTAGTATTCTCGATTTGTCTACCTCGGCTGCTTCAATAGCGGCATCGAGCTTATAGACCGATAATTCGTTTGGTTTTAATAATCAGGTTTATGAAGAAAAACTTCGTACTCGTTTGTATCCTTGCCCAATTTGTACAACATGACGTTATGCGGTTATCGAAACTACTGGGCATGGTTTAAAAATTAAGATAGCGTAAGCTCAATTATTCCAGATATTACAGGTTCCGACAAGTAAATAATTTTCATAGTTCTGCCACAAATAAGCTACGTACTGATTATTGACCATTTGTTACATGCCATAACGAGCAAATGTTTTTAAAAAACTAATAAGTATGTTTAAAATTAATAAATACAAATGTATTCTGACAGTTTGTGAGTTAATTATACTTTCTATTTGCAAAATTTCCTCGTCCTTAACACAAAATAAGAAAAAAATGTGAACTTTTAAGGGTTAAAAAACAACCGGGATCCCAGGATCTCGGTGTTTTGGTACATTGACAGACCCTAGATCCGCGCACCAAAAAAACGACTTCAGTGGTAAGACAATCCAAAATATAAATTTCCAAAAGAAATGCTTTAGATTATTTATTTAAAGTTTGAATAAAGTATGGCGTAGTTCTTTGGGATGCAAATTCAGGACCTGTCAATTTACCACAACGCAAAAAAATTTTATACATTTTCGACTTGGTATAAGGCAACCCAATATATGGAGGATCTACAACAGAAAGGTGCCTCCAAAGGAGGACTTTTATGGGAAACTGGTCCCCATTTTGAAGTTAGACACGTAAAGTTCTATAAAACTCCGATTGGTGAGGCACGATCCCAGGACTATTCACCAATGTTCAGTTGGCCCCCACCAGTGGGCGAGTGGTCTCCGTTGCCGCTCATAGCGGTGACCAGACCCTAAACACTGGGAAGTTNTTTATATGATTTTAATACATTAATTTAATATTAAAAAATTAATATACATAAATTAATTATTTAACTCTAACAATTAACGATTCGCGAGTTTTTAGAAATAAAAATAATTTCCCATAAAATTTCGGCAGGTGGCGCCACCCATCACCACGATGGCAGATCGTACAATAATTAAACAAATAACATTATACTAGTCACTAGTCTATTCAATGCAGTATGAATTGCTGTCTAGTATTCTCGATTTGTCTACCTCGGCTGCTTCAATAGCGGCATCGAGCTTATAGACCGATAATTCGTTTGGTTTTAATAATCAGGTTTATGAAGAAAAACTTCGTACTCGTTTGTATCCTTGCCCAATTTGTACAACATGGCGTTACGCGGTTATCGAAACTACCGGGCATGGTTTAAAAATTAAGCTCACTTATTCCAGATATTACAGGTTCCGACAAGTAAATAATTTTCAGTCCTGCCACAAATAAGCTACGTACTGATTATTGACCATTACATGCCATAACGAGCAAATATTTTTAAAAAACTAATAAGTATGTTTAAAATTAATAAATACAAATGTATTCTGACAGTTTGTGAGTTAATTATACTTTCTATTTGCAAAATTTCCTCGTCCTTAACACAAAATAAGAAAAAAATGTGAACTTTTAAGGGTTAAAAAACAACCGGGATCCCAGGATCTCGGTGTTTTGGTACATTGACAGACCCTAGATCCGCGCACCAAAAAAACGACTTCAGTGGTAAGACAATCCAAAATATAAATTTCCAAAAGAAATGCTTTAGATTATTTATTTAAAGTTTGAATAAAGTATGGCGTAGTTCTTTGGGATGCAAATTCAGGACCTGTCAATTTACCACAACGCAAAAAAATTTTATACATTTTCGACTTGGTATAAGGCAACCCAATATATGGAGGATCTACAACAGAAAGGTGCCTCCAAAGGAGGACTTTTATGGGAAACTGGTCCCCATTTTGAAGTTAGACACGCAAAGTTCTAGAAAACTCCGATTGGTGAGGCACGAACCCAGGACTATTCACCAATGTTCAGTTGGCCCCCACCAGTGGGCGAGTGGTCTCCGTTGCCGCTCATAGCGGTGACCAGACCCTAAACACTGGGAAGTTCGGTCATGGGTTCGCGCCACGATCGGACAAGCTGGCTGCTTGGAGTTTTCCGGGTTTTCTCCTTGCCCATAACGACTGAATAGGAGGCCAGTTCCCCATAAAAGTCCTCCCGGAAGGCATTTATTTCCCGCGCGTACGAATAGGCTGTTCGATACAGCCGGCAAATCGGTTGCATAGCGATCATACACACACATGTCTATTCGGAGAAAAAGCCTACATTGAGCTAAAATCTCCATATTAACACCATCCAAGAAGAAGAAAAGAAAAAAGAAAAGAATGTTCCGTTGTTTTGTAGAATACAGGAAATTTCCTTTTGTCATTACAATAATTACTCCACTCGTGGTTTACGTGAAATTTTATAATCAGAATACTAAAGATTTTTTTATAAATCACTTACATTCAATAAGGTCCCTTTCGTGATAGCGAACAAACCCATGCAAGAAAAGCCAATAACGGGTCCATTTATTCTCTCCAACATAATACTTATCTGTAAAAATTTAGAAACCGTGTAGAAAAATGTTTGAATTAAATTATAAATAAAATTCTGAACTACCTTTCCTTGCATCAAATGGGGTAAATCACGGAATGCTAAGGTATTCAAGGCATCGAAGCAGCCGTGTGCCTACAAAGAAAAGATAAATGCTTGGCATTTGATGTTATACGAAGAGAAAAAATTGTATTTTATTTACCGAATTTGATAAGAAAGCAGACGAAACAGCCATAAGCAAGAAGTTAGCCGATACCAGACACATCCACCATACAATAATTATTGTATCGTGCCTATCACTTTCCAACAAAATGAAATCGTAGATGCACGCACAAATATCTGGGATAACGGTGGCGAAATTAATAAAGATGAAACCCCCGAAACACGAATCAGCTTCTAATATTATGTCGCACAATTGCTGATGGCGACTGTGTATGGAATATAGCATAGACATGGTAACGGGCCCTTCGCTCATTTCCGCTATAGTAGAATTTACTTCAGAGAACCCCTTTATTACAGTCAAGGAAAAAAGAAGGAAATAAATGAGAACCGAAGTAACTATACCAACAAGAAAGAAACATGGAATTAATAGAGAAGTGTAAGTAAAATACATAACGGAAAGCCTGTTTTTTGTATCATAATTTCCAAATTCGAAATGATGGTCGACAAAAATTATGCAAATGGTCATGCAAGACGATATCGCGAAAGGAAAGCACACGTATAGTAACTGATATTGGATGGAATAAATAAAATCCAAAGAAACGTGCAAAGTATCATCCATTTCTTTCCAATATTTTCGGATGGAGGTGAGAAACCGACGACGAGAAGAAGAGTTGAAAAGTGTGGCAATGAATGTGGAACGAAGGAGGAAGGAGATGCATAGAAACAAGTGAGTTGCGTTGATAGGAACCTTGATAAATTGTTGAAAGAAAGAAATAAAATCCGAATAAAAGAAAGTAAATAATGAGAAACATAAAAAGAGAGAAAACCAGCAAGTAATCATCATAATCACACTGTATAAACGGTGAAGAAATGCAAACGAGTGATGGCAGGACATCTGCAAGTCATCAGAAAGTCCAAAGAGGCATAACAGTTGGATAACGGGACGAAACAAGCAAACTAGACATTGGAAGCATGTATCAGAGGATGTGGATGCCACTGAAGTTGTTGTAAATATAGGATTTCTATCGTCCACCATTTTTGTTAGGATATTTACTAATGATTAATTGATTATATCGATCGATATTGGGTTTACCTCGCTAATCAATAAAGTAAACCGACGTTAAATAGTGTATTTTTTAGGATTTTGTAATCAAATAAAAGAAAAATTGATAAATACTTATTATTATATAAATTATTCAGATTTTAGAACATGGCCTTGTATTCAGAAAATATTAAAATGAACTTTTGCAAAGCTATTTTTTTAAGCAGATTTGAAAAATTGCCGTTCCGTTACAGATGAATTTGAACAGGATTGCATTTAGTCAAGGTCATAGGCGAGGTGGTCATAATGAGATAAGGCTTCGCCTTCTTTTGGGCCTCATCTACCTCATCTCTCTCTCTCTACACATTACTAATAGTTTTGTTCTATGTCGGTATCTACAATGCCTGTAAGGAAATTGAACCGTGGGCCTCAAAAGTGCTTAAAGTGGCAATGGATCTGACCCTCAATGGGGTCGGGCAGCTTGGCGAAAGATGGGAAACGACGACCCGACCAAATTTTGTTTTCGATTTGAACACATTAAATGTCGCATTTACAGAAGAAAATTTAACGGATTTCATTTGATATGAGTATATCGGGCCCGGACTCCTGCTTGGTCGTCCCATTAAGGAATACCAAACCTATGATGGGCGTGAAAGAAGTACCGCTCGATGCCGCAAGGTTAATTTGCAAATAAATAAATTTAAATCCAGACGGGTCGAAAAGGCCCGTTCCTGTTCCATTGTGGGTTTGGACTAACCCGTAATGGGCTGGCTAAAAAGGGTTTTATTAGTGCACACAGGGCGGAAAGAGTTAAAAAATCACCTTTAATTAACATTACGTCACGTTATTGATTACACGGAAGGCATAACACTCAAATTATATTTATATGATTTTAATACATTAATTTAATATTAAAAAATTAATATACATAAATTAATTATTTAACTCTAACAATTAACGATTCGCGAGTTTTTAGAAATAAAAATAATTTCCCATAAAATTTCGGCAGGTGGCGCCACCCATCACCACGATGGCAGTCCATGCCGAAGACGAATAACTAATCCATTTCATTCAATCTGCATTTTATTATTTTTCTCGAGATATTGCGTAGATTTTAATAGAATTTCATCCTCGAGACGTTGTAGTAAGTTTACCTTGTCTCAAACGAAGATGGGAGATGATAATTTTATTTATTGACTATTATTTTAAGATATTTTATCTTTAAATGTCATGGTGATGTTTTATTTGAAAGTCGTATATTTTTATTTATTTCGTAGGTAATCGTGCAGTTTACGTCAGTCGACATTGACCGCAAAATACAGAAATATATCAATAAAACTATATAAATATTTGTAATATAGATCCAAAATTACTCTTTGAATTGGTTTATTTCTTATGAGTTAAAAGAATATTCTTATATCAATATTTAAAGACAGTTATAGGTATATTAGGTGTTTCTATATTATGTATCTATTATTAATAATGATTCAAAAATTTACAGTGCTGACCGACGTAAACTGCAAGATTACCGACATTCTATTTGAAGAAATTTATATATTACTAGCTTACTCGTCGCACATTGCTGCGATCTCAGAAGAAATGAAATTCAAGCAAACTCGTTATGATAAAATTAAATTTACATTTTATCATTTTTATTGAAACTTATTATTATTCTTCATTTTCGTCGGAAAAACATTTCAAAGTGTCGTTTCAATTCTATTTATTTATTGCAGTGCTTGTGGATATACGATATTTTTGTTTTTCCGTCTGGTGCGTACACGAATAAATCGGAAGGTTTTCCGACGCGTGAGCAGGCCACGTACAGTTGTACATGCGAGAAGCACGGATTCTCCAAATTTAGCCCACATACTCACAGAGATTGTTAGAAGTGCGATATTCCCCATTTTTATATATATATTTTAATCCTTTACAATTTTAATTATTTAATTGCTCCTTCCTCTCTTACATGGCATGTTGTGAAATTTCTGATAGTTGGATAATAAACCATTTATTGTAATTTGTCTTTTTAAATTATTTTGAGTCGATATTAAAATTTGGAAAAGGGGGATCCGGGGATCCCTAGATCGGTAAAATAGGCGAATTTCCTTCTACAACTTCGGTTGTTGTTCGGGATACAGTTAAAGTTTTAACAAAGTTCGAGCGAATACGTAATTAGCAAAAAAAAAATTTGAAATAAAGTGATTAAACAAAAATTATTACAAATATCGTAAATAACAGTTCACAAATGCATATATAGAGATATTTTTTGAAGGGGGGAAATGGTCTTCACAATTTGAAATCGATCGAACACACTGTGCTCGAATGCTCGTGTAAACGCGCGCCATCTATCGTAGGATAAATGTACTTCGCGGGAGTGTATTAAAAAATTAAAAAAACTTTCCAAAGTTTTATGGCAATCGTACTATGCCACAAACCTTCGCCGGAGTATATTAAACAACTTCCCAAAGTTTCACGGCAATCGGATAAACGGTGTGGTAATGCATGAAACACACACACACACACACACACACATACATTTATTTTTATATATATAGATTAAGCAGTTTATTGATAATCTATCTATATAATATATATATATATATATATATATATATAATATATAAATGGACCTGTGTGTCCCTATATTTCACTTTTTAGCCAAAACTACACATTGCACATGAATGGTGTTTGTATGTGGTAGTAGTTCCAAATTTGTGCACTATGGTGGTTGCGTCTTGATAGCTATAAGGGTGTGGGAGATATGGGATTGAAAGTGGTTGATTTCAAAGATGTGTAACAATGGAAGTGTTAATATAAAGCAGCATGCAAGATTTACAGGCAGTTTTTTGCGTTTTTACAGGCGGGAAATCGAACATATTTTTAGACACATGTAAAAATTCTCTAATTAGTCTGGAAACGGGGGACCTAATTCTTGCATTCTGTGAAAACGGGTAAGATTGGCTATAATGTAATTATCTTAATCTTCCCTATCGTTACTTTTTGCCCACAAATAAAAACCCAGCGAAGCAGGTTCTTGCAGCTAGTTGATTCATATTTACAGTCTATTTTAACTCATTAAAGAAAGAAAACTGTACAATAATCCAAAATAGAAAATATTTTTATACATGTTTGTCTTCAAGGGAGGTATTTCGTTGAAACAAATAACACGATGATGATAATTTAATTGGAATTCTATGTAATTTTTTTCCTTTTTCTTGGAACTCTCAGAAAGCAAATATTTAATAATGCAGCAAGTGTTAAAGTTATTGTAAAAAGTCAACATTATACTTTGTTCGCACTCGATAGGCAGGCTGGTTACATGTATTTTTCTGGGTTTTCTTCTTGTGCCTAACAACTAAATATGGACCTGTTTTGCATAAAAGTCTTTTGGGAGTTGTCTCTCCTTGGCAGATTGCTCTCGTATTTATTGCCATATTCCCTCTGTCCGATCCAATTTTTATTCGGAAGTGGTTAGTTAGATTGGATTGTTTGAATATAGTAAATTATTAATTTATTTCATAGTCTGATTTCTATCATTTATAAGTGATGTATCAAATGTGTTTGCAAGCTGAATAATATGTTTTGCGGGCTAGATTTGCATGAGACTACAGTTCGGGTACTGCTATGAGAACTGCGGGATTCGTCGGACTATAATGAGGCAACTAATTAGTTAACTAAACAATATAACTTAGCATAAAAGTAGTTCGTTAGGACACCATCTCGCATTAATATTGATAATTAGAATTTTGATTAAATTAAATAATTTAGTAAATAATGGAAGAAACATTGACCTTGAGAGGAGCTTGAATTCTTGTCACATTCTGTGTAGATTTGGTTCAGACAGTTTAGTATAGTGGTTCTCAAAGTGGGTGCTACTGCTCCAGGGGGTGAAAAGAAGCAAGTGGGAGGCAGGGGGCACCAAAAGCCAGATCTTCACCAAATGGTAGTCTTAGGCAAGGGTTTAGGTCACTGACAACCTTTCACTTTTCTCCATTAAAACAGGTAAGAAGGAACATTGCATTTAATGGTTTCCAGATATGGAGAACAATGTACAGAGAGTTTATTTATTAATAGGACATAAACTGGTGTTTAAAGATTGACACAGCAATAAGAGTTAGTTCAGGAAAGAACAAAATTTCTTTATTATATCACCTGTAGTAATAGTTTCTGAAATACTGGTGTTTAAAGATTGACACAGCAATAAGAGTTAGTTCAGGAAAGAACAAAATTTCTTTATTATATCACCTGTAGTAATAGTTTCTGTACACATATCATAAAAAATCAAAAACTAAAAAGAAAAACGATAGATAAAGTACAAAATTATAAAAGACATTTAAATAACGTTAAAAAATTTTTAATAGAAAATAAATTGGAATTACTCCAAGGTGATAAAACAAAACAAACGATAATTATAGTCTGAAAAGAAAAATGATATTATAACAGAATTAATATAAGGAGGTGGATATAAATTATTGGAAAAGGACCCAAGAAAAAGTATGCTAAATAACTTAAGTAAGGAATTAGAAGATATGAAAAACCGAAATCTGATAACAGATGAAGAATTTAGGAAAATTNACCATAATACTGTTGAATTGTGAAAATTTGAACCTTGATGTGAGTCCTTTTGGTTTTCATATGTAATGTTTTAGTTTTTAATAATTTACAACCTTTATTTATTATATTTTAATTTATTTATACAGTGAAATGTTTAAATCATTAATTAATTATACAAAGAGAAAAATACATTTATACTTGGGTTTGGAATATGTATTTACAGTAAGTTTTTTAAAATTATTTTTATGGTTATGTAAAAAAATTTTAACTTATACAATAACTTATCTTGTTTTATTATTGTTACTTTTTAGTTTGTGGTAGTAGTACTGCTGATGAGGGGGATGCTAGCCCGAAACACTTGTAATATGTGTACAGAAACTATTACTACAGGTGATATAATAATGAAATTTTGTTCTTTCCTGAACTAACTCTCATTGCTGTGTCATTCTTTAAACACCAGTTTATGTCCTATTAATAAATAAAGTCCAAGTAGACAATTAAAAAAAAATATATATATAATATTAGAATTAAAAAGGACAGTAAGGCTTTTACAATTTACAATGTACAGAGAGGTTCATAGAAAAGCTTTTCTAAGAATATTTCCAAATCTCTCAAGGAAAAACTAATTGTGAGCATTGGGTATAAGTTTATTGGGAAGCATTTGCTATATATTATGCCCCTATGAGTAAAACAGTCAAATGAACTGATGATCTACATGTGACCCTTCTCCCAAATTCAGGCTATCTGAAAGTTTGAAACAAGTATATATAAGCAACAAAACCTTACAATATTAATGATCTTGAAGAATGCATATCATAGGCTATTTGTGCAATACTGCTGTATAAGAAATGTGTGAATGAGTTATGCTCTCAATGGCAGATTGAATTGCAGGTTGAGGGAGTGTATCAGTTTGTATTAAAATGTATAGTTTATTAAATGAATAATAAAAGCAGTTCCCATTTGCATGATAATATTTTTTGCTAAAAGTTGCTAATCATTGGAAAGGAGAAAATTTTCCTTTGCAGAGATTAGCAAGCAAAATTAGCAGTACACCTTGTATAATTCCAGCAATATATTTAATTAACCAAAAATGTTTTTGACATACTTCCACAAGCCTTCTTTGGATGGAACATCAAAGTTAAATGAACAAAGAATATTAATAAAACATCAGTGAACATTTTAACTGATTTACATAATTTTGCAGACTTGTAACCTCTAATAAAAGGTCATCTCTACAAACAGAGACTGTTTTATTCCTGGTGATTGGACATGATGGAACTGAGGACAACTCAGTTTCTTCAATTTTTAAAAAATCTCATCTGCCATTTTAATTGAAATAACTGTTAAAGCTTGCGTAGCAAGCCATTTACTATTGGGCCGACCATGTATGCCATTTGGAAAGGGGCAGTACTGTTTTACACTGGGATGGCTGGGACAAAGTGTAAAACTCTGTGCCAACAATCTTTCTTTTAGTAAAATTTTCACTTTTGCCCTTTTTTTTTTGGAAAAATCTAAAAAGATTTCCAGTTTGTTTATTAAACATATTTATTTATTCAGGGATGCACAACCTTTTTTTGAAGAAGGGCCAAATTAGGATTAAGTTTATTGACTGGGGGCCGGACCTCCAAGTGATTAATGCGATGTCTGATGCAATTTGCGAGATTCTTTGTTGTATCGTCATGTGGTTAAGACTGATTGTTTGAAAACACTGTCTTCTCAGGACACATCTCACTTGCGATGATAAGACACTTTTTTATCATATCGCCATCTGTGAAAGGTTTCCCATTCTTGGCTATTAAAGCAGATATTTCTAGGCTGGCTTCAACAGCCGCATCCAATTCTCCAGATTGTTTCTTGAACACATTTTGTTGGCTGATTAGTGATCGTCGTAACGATTCGATTTTCCGTTTGCGTTCCGTACCTTGCAGAAGGAAATCCTTGTGTTGGCTTTCATGATGTCGCTTCAGGTTGAATTCTTTTGGCACTGCTATTGTTCCATTGCACAAAAGGCAAATAATGCTGTTGTTCTGTTGCACAAAACAGTACTTGTTAGTCCACACTTCCACTTCTTGAAACTGATGATTCTCGCGATTGACCTTGCGTTTAATGCCCGGCGCCATACTGTTCACTCTGCAAAACAATGTCTCATTGTGCCGAAAATTCTGAGGCCCGCAACAAATCATGTTTGAGATAAGGCAAGCTAGACTACCACGTGCTTTGTTCTGTATCCACTCTGACCAAAGACTAAAGAGGCAGGGACAGAAGACTATTACGCACACGTGGCCAGGCAGGTCTTAATTCGTTCGACCCCTGTCCGGGCGTCTCCACCATTTCTCAGAATTTGTGAGTCAGATCGTCAACATGCCAGGTGCAGGACACTAATCCATCATAAATGTGGTTACCATTCTTACCTAAATTATATTTATGGCCCGTCAGTTTTACCCCCGTGTTCAGAAATGAATCAAAAGTGATTAACACAGTGCAGTGGAAAATCTGAATATTTTAAATATAATTATTAAAATTGCGATATCTCGTTTCAAATTGGCGCTAGAATCAATTTTTTTTTTTTTTCTGTCCTAAATATATCACAGTTTACGACTGTTAAATTTCAAATAAAATAAAAATTAAAAATAATAATTTAATTTTAAATTTACGAAAAAAAGAATGTAAAAATAAAAGTAAATAAAAAGTTCCAATTAATTTACTACTTAAATAACCTAAATATATCTGTTTTCTTTCAAACAAAAAAAACCGCAGCTTTCTAGCTACACGGAATCATTTTACAACCCTCTTTGTTGACAAGTTTATGGCTTGACGCGGTTTGTAATAATTATTAAATCCAAAATATTTTAATGCAAATGGCTTCCTTTTAGTCGTAATGACTCTATTCCAACTACAGTATTAATTTTCTTGGTCCAACTTAATAATAATAAATTTGATGTGAAAAATTTTTTTTCTATTCTTTGTCTATGGAGAGATATTGTTGTAAATTATTGGTTTTATAGCTTTTTGTACATTCCTTTTTGAACTCTGGTTAGTTTTTTTCTAGTTTGAATGACATTAGGTTGACGAATAAGCGTCTTTTCAGAAAAGATTGATTCAAATTCGACTATACCAATCAGAATCTAGAATGTAAACAAATGCTAAAAAATCGTTATTTTCATGGTTTTTCAGCGCTATTTTCACTTATTTTTGTTATTTGACGCTATTTAGACGAATAGGCAAGTTTTCCGAAGCATAAAATTGAAGATTTTCCGCCAAAATAGAAACTTCCCGATAACATCGGAAATGACGTTCTAACATCATTTTAAAATATTCGATATCTAAAGCAGAAAGTGTTAGCTAAAAATAGACTTATTTATAGAACAATCCCCCATTTCTCACCTCAGGGAAAGTCATAAAACAGTTGGGTGCTAATGACTTTGTGAAAGGGAAAAAGTTCTACACTTAGAAACTTCGAAAGAAGGGATTTGGCCTGTACCGTCCGCAGGCCGCATAAACATTGATAGGGGGCCGTATGTGGCCCGCGGGCCGCAGGTTGTGCACCCCTGATTTATTGAATTCTGAACTCTCAATTTGTTAGAAAATGTTTGTGTTGATAAGGGTCATAAATTTGAATGGATACTGTTGAGATGGATACATTGATTGTAAGAAAGACAAAATAGTTTCAAAGAGTTTAATAAACATATTATGCAAACAGAATGAAATTTGATTATTCAATTAACAGGTGCTAGTAAAGACAATAGCCAAACACTCAGTTATTGGGCTGCAATTTGAAAAAATTGTAGACCTACAAATTCCCACTGTTGTTCGTCCATCATTCCTTAACTCGAATGGAATTAGATAGATGAAAGCTGAGACCATATATAGAGAGATTAAGGGCAGGAGACCCCAATTAACTATATACGAACTTCTGGTTTCAACCAGAAGTCACGCTATTTCAATTTAAAAAGTTTTCCCGAAATGAGTTAGACAACCGGTACAACTCTATTGCTAACAGAAAGGTATGATGTACAGGGGCAAACCACTACTAATTTGAGGTGGAGAGCATATATTTTAAATTTTAAAATTTATTAAAAATATGATTAAAAATTGCAGCCATCATTGTGATGATGTCACAATAAATACTTGCTTATTGTCTTTACTATTACTGATTATTATTGAAAAATTTATGTATGTATGAATGTATGTATATATATTAATATATAAAGAAACTCAACTAGAAACATTCAATATATCTATAAATTATGGAACCATATAGAAAGGACATTCCAAATGGAATATGAATAATAGACCCAACACAGGCATATAAATTGCCTGAAAATGTTCGTATATTTTGTTGTTTAGTAGCTAGAAATAAAGAAAAGGTTAATTTACAAATATAATTTATGTATTTTTTATACCACCAAATCAATATAAAAACATACTAACAAACTAATAACTCATGTATATTTCTTGACAGAATTTTAATGAAAGTGGGGGCCTTTATTTTATCGTGTGCGGCTCTTCCATCCATTTTGGCATCAAGAAATTTCAACAGGCTTATTCGTGATATAAAATAGAGGAAAGAATGACAATTTAATTTATGTTTAACTAACTAGATACTTACTGTTGTGAAGTGGATAGGCAGCATGCATAATTAAAAATTGATTGAAACAAAACATTCATACTGATTAATATTAATGGTACTCGTTGGTTAAATCTCCTGCACGTCACACTTCAGTGTAGTATAGCATTGTTTTGCATCAGTCAAAAAAAAAAGTACTGTTCAAAAGTTCAAAGTTTATACGAAATTAACCAAAATGGTTTTGCCGAAATATTACAATTTAAAGGAATACGACACACTCTTTTTCACTTAGAATAACAACTGGTATTTAAATTTTATAGGCAAAATATAGATGACATTAATTTCCCAACCCAACAAAATCTAAATCTAAGGGAAATAACAAAACTATGCATCTATTTATTAGTCCATGCACCAAAATTAAACTTACGGATTGATTTATAACGTCTCTGTCTTGATTTTTTACGCTCTTGACACTACTACGTTTTATTATGCTTTTCTGAAAAAAACGTTGAGAATGTATCATGCAGAATACAAACAATATCATCTTCAATCATAGACAAATTTAAAACAGTGAACAAATCATTCTTCTTGACAGTACCTCCTATTCGTGCTGAAATGAGACTAATTTGCTTATCAACCAGGTAGCAGCGGATTATTATCAAAACAAATCATTTATTAAAAATAAGTGATTTAATTAATTAAAGTGTAGAATACTCTTATTCAAATTCAGCTGTGTCGTTTATAAGCAGTTCAACAGCATGTGGCATGACAGGGTGTAGTTTAATGTTGTAGCATGGGTATAATCCACAAACACCACCATATTAAAGTTTTTTTTTTACTCACTCCTTGTTACTTGTGTAGTCAATTTCACTGAATATACAATGCATTGCAAAATGTGCCACGACAGCCTATTTATTCATATTTGGTTCAAAGGTAAATTTTCCTGTTTGAAGATTCAACAAACATTCCATTGTTCTGGTTTCCTGGCAAAGTCCTTCGGAGTAGGTTGAAAATGTTAGAAAGGTGATAATTTTGACAATTTCTGGACTAATTTTTGAGATTTCATGTACTAATAAGTTGTCCAGTTAGAATTGGAATAATTGTTAATGTATTCAATGAAACTCACATAGTGGCTTTTTTCTGAAGCCACACTTACAAGAGGTATTCTTTTGTGTAGGGATGTATATTTTGAGCATTTTTTGCTTCTCTTCAGTCCAGTTTCATAAGAAAAATTGAGTCTAGAGTTAAGATTTCAGTGCAATTTCTTAAGAAGTTGGACTGAACTCTACTATAAATCCATCTCATTGACTGTATTATTTTTCAATAAATTATTCTAATATATTTTTTCTGTACTTCATTTTACATTCAAAAATTTGTAATATACAATTGAATTTTTTAAATATATTTACCTAAATTCTGTTTTTAATTTGTATTTTTTTTCTAGTTTTGAAACAGTATTTCAAACTCTGAATTATGACTTCCGACAACAGCGGTACATCCAAATTTAAATCGTTTGTTTCCGAAACAGAACTCGAAGAAAGAAGAAAGAGGCGTCAGGAAGAATGGGAGAAAGTGCGAAGGCCCGATCAACCTTTATGTGAGATTTTAATAACTTATGAATAAATTTTTAATTGTATATAATTTAATTTCCATAATTAGGAAAATCGACAGCAGAGTTGTCTGTCAGAATTTTCACCCCCGGTCACCTAAAATGACTTTTTAAACTGAGAAATCTCTTGTCTGTGAAGTAAACTGACATTTAGAATACGACCTCCTTTAACTATTAAAAATTCATTATATGATTTAGATGCTCCTTCACATTAATCATACACCGACCATTAGCCTAGTGGATAAAACTACTGAACAGTAATAGTCGGTCGTGGGTTTGCACGTCATCAATGGGCTGGCCACTTGGAGATTTTTGGGTTTTCTTCATATTAGAAACACCTAAATAAGGGCCGTAGAAAGTCATTCCAGAAGGGCATCTCCTCGGCAGATTGCCACGTACAACTGTCCAAAACAGTTTAACTAGCATGCCTTTGATAGTGGTCAGTAAAATGGTAATTTCCTGATTTAGGCAATTGTAATGCTCCCATATATTACAAAACTATTTCACTTCAAGTGGTGGTGATTATACATTTTTTATACTGTTTACGAAATTATATTGACTTACTTTAAAATAGTAGAAGAACTAATTTATTTTTTAAATTTATTTAATTCAATTCAATATCAAATATTAAATTTTAAATATTGTCATCAGTATGTCCCGAAGAAGAATATGATCCTAAATCTTTATACGAACGCTTGCAAGAACAGAAAGACAAGAAACAAGCAGAATACGAAGAAGCACATCGTTTAAGTAAGTTCATTTTTTAGTAGAAAATTAAACAATTCTCCACAGTTCTTTAATATAAATTGAGAGCTTTTAATTCTACAAAATTAATTACCATATTAGCCCGAATATAATGCAACCCCGAATTTAACGCAAAGCTCTCGAGTTGTTCGTTCTTTCTGCCTTGTTTGCAACCATAATTTTAAAATTCATATCGTAGGTTCTCCTGGTACTTTTATTTATTTGACTCTTTGATGAACCTTTTTTCTCAACACTACCTTTATTACTCACACTCATTTTTTATGGGCAATAAAGAAAAAAAATAAAGTAACCGTTGCTAGTCACTAGAGCAAAAAAACAAATGAAACAAAACAGTTGCGTGAGACGTTAACAAGCAGAGACATAGCCTTACTATAGTAGTGCTATGCAAACAAAAGCGCAGGCCTACTAACTAGATCATGTGGTTGTTTTGAAGTGGTTGGTCAAGCTAGGAATTGGTCGGATGCTCAGTTGCGTTTCAACCTCTGTACGAAAATGTCCTTGTTTATATTACATTCCATTACTTAAATCCCGAATTTAGTGCGAGTCAATTTTTTAACGGAAAATAAATGGTCGAAAAATATCGCGTTATATTCGAGCTAATGCGGTATATCAAAATACAGGATCTTTTGAAATGAATACTATCATTTTAAATTACTGTAGTTATGTTAATTATTATCCAAGAATGTTATAACATACATTAAAATATTGTAAAACTGTCTAAGTTTCACATTTGCCCATTGCAATTTCTCAATGCAAGCACCTCATGTTACACTGCATGCATCTGACTGACACTCAAACTCTTCCTATGCTCTCTAAGGCATATTGATTGTCCCTCCTCTCATAGCAGCCACAATTCTGTGGCTCCTGCAGATTATTCACATTACACGATGATGAGTGATTCCAACTTTGCAAACTGCAGAACATAAAATACCTTTGATGCCAAGCCACCATTTTCATTTACAGTTCTTTCTAGAGGTATTAGATGACAAAGCATTCAAATGTAGATGGGAGACAAAAGTTAGACAGTTACTCTATCTGTTGGTGTACATTTCATACTTCTTGAATAATAATGAACATAATTATGATAATTTAAAATGGACGAATTTATTTTGGAAGATCCTGTTTATATAAACTGTACTTAGATATGTTTATTGGAAAACCAACTGGAAAACATTTTTGTAACTGCTAAGTTTAATTTAGCTGTCAAATTTATCATTTTATATTTTATTGGGCCACCCTAGAAGCCACAAAAGTCTACAAGTTTCATTCTCCTGATCTAAACCAATGAATGTTGCCTGCCTTTTGCTCATGTACATTTTAAACATTATTTGTGTTTATATTACTTAATATTCAAATTTAAGTAATTATTGGATTGGAACTTTGATGACAACTAATTTAATTAGCCAATTTCAAATTGTCATTTATTTCGATTTAAATTTTATATACCTTATTATTAATCTCTTGTTACTATGTAAGAAGCTCTCTTTTCACGTTCATCATCGTCTGCTGTCTGAGTTGGAGGTTTTCCTTCATAGAGTTACACACCTCTCTCCTATACGCCATCTGCTTCAGATTGGTATACTTCTTACAATTGGCCCACTCTTTTGGGCCAGCTATCTACTCCTTGTGCAGTCTTCTCCATCATTTTCCCAGTATGTCCACTCTCCACAATGTGAGAAGTAGTTATTCTGCTAAGTTCCATATGATGTCAGCACCAAACTTCCTTTTGTTCTTACACATTTCTGTTACTAGATATTGACTACTACCACAACTCGAATGTCAAATTACACTCTATTGCCTTCATTTCACGTCTCACAATCACAGAGTAGGACCAGTCACACATAGTACATCATTATCTTTAATTTCAAAACATTTGATAATTCTCTTGTTGGCTTTTTAAGGCTCTAGAATGCCATCTCTGCCGTTATAATTCTTGTCCCGACTTAATAGTACAAGTGTTGGCGATGAGAAGTAGAATATGAAGAATAAATTATCACCCTCAGTTATAAATTGAAAATTTATGTAAACGTTTTGAATAAGATATGCTCATTTATGTTTTTCACATTTCTTATCTTTCTGTTTTATTAATCAAATATTAAATTTTAAATATTGTCATCAGTATGTCCCGAAGAAGAATATGATCCTAAATCTTTATACGAACGCTTGCAAGAACAGAAAGACAAGAAACAAGCAGAATACGAAGAAGCACATCGTTTAAGTAAGTTCATTTTTTAGTAGAAAATTAAACAATTCTCCACAGTTCTTTAATATAAATTGAGAGCTTTTAATTCTACAAAATTAATTACCATATTAGCCCGAATATAATGCAACCCCGAATTTAACGCAAAGCTCTCGAGTTGTTCGTTCTTTCTGCCTTGTTTGCAACCATAATTTTAAAATTCATATCGTAGGTTCTCCTGGTACNATTTAATAGTACAAGTGTTGGCGATGAGAAGTAGAATATGAAGAATAAATTATCACCCTCAGTTATAAATTGAAAATTTATGTAAACGTTTTGAATAAGATATGCTCATTTATGTTTTTCACATTTCTTATCTTTCTGTTTTATTAATCAAATATTAAATAATTAATTTTTTTATTTTTAATAGAGAATCTGATAAGAGGACTCGATGATGATGAAGTGGCATTTCTCGAATTAGTAGATAAAACAAAAATGGAGATTGAATCAAAACGTTTAAAAGAAGATATGAAAGAAATTCAGGAATATCGAATATCCTTTATACAATTTATTGTAATTAATCTTTTAACATCCATCCAAAAAAGTGTTGTTCGGTATCAAAGAGGCGTTTGAATTGTGACGTTTCAGTCATAAGTTATTCAAAATAAGAAATAGTGTGAGGTTGGGAGTGTTCTGGGTTATTCCCTTGCTCACTATCAGGATAATAAAGTAATTGAATTTTAGGAAAGATCGTCAAAGTCTTCCTTTCTCATCAGGGTCCTGACACCGGTTAGGATAAGTTCAATGCACATCCTAAAGTTCCAGTCATTCGAAATTGTCTTTACGAATGACCGGAACTTAGGAAGGTTTTACTTATACCTTGCACACAAAATTGATGATAGACATGGTAATGATGATGGAGTTAGGCATTCAAAAAGTAGAACAATAATAACATTATTTATTTAGATATAAAACTATATAAAAAATGATATAACTACAAGAACAAATATAATGAGATAAACATGAACAAAATTTCCATTTTTACAATTTACTCGAGTGAGAAACCTCTAAATTCTATCCATTAAATCTATCTTGAGAGAGAGAGTTTACACATTTGAGTTAAGTATAATACCTCATTTTGGTTCCTTATTTTCTTTTGTATCTGGCGAGGCTGGCTATGTCTTCCTACATTTGGCAGGAACACTTTCAAACACAAACTTTCTTGAGAGTTCTGTTTTCCAAATTCCAGCCATTGGGCATTTGTTTTTTTCCTATTTATAGGATTCCACTTCTCCAGTGATTTGTGGCAATTCAAGTCATCTGATGAGAAAAGCAACAAGGAACTTCCTTGTGGAGTTGATATCAAAATCAACATTTCTCCTCGAGAACTTCCTTTTAAATTGAAAGAAAGTTCTTTTGTGATGCACGATTACAAACAAAAATGGTTCCTGTTTGTCAAATTTTAAATTTTATCTATTTAAGCAAATACTATCGGCCCTAGATTCTCACAATAGTATTGTCACATAGAAAATATAAAAGCCACAATTACAAGAGAAACTTTGTTCTATCTGATAAATTTTCTATAAGTCATTAATTACTGACATGAATGATTTCACTGTTGTTTAAATTAATTAGAATATAAATTGCTTATCACTTTAGAAGCCAGGATTAAAATACTTCTAATTAGAATAAATATTTTTGGAATTGTACGTTGCTGCATAAGATCTATAATGGATCGGAAAATATTTATTCAGCTGGTGCAATTTATTTCACTTGAAAGCCATTAAAATGCTTAGATCTGCTGCAAACTACAGTTTTGTGATAGCAAAACGCTAGCAAATGTGCACTAGCACACCTGATAACGTCAAAGGCCCCACCCCTTTCTTCATACCTGCACGGTTATCCCTTTGCTAGCGCAGTGATACAAGCATATGCTTGCTATTGACAGTTCGACAATGAGTGTATGCTCTTATCATTGTGCTAGCAAAGGGATAACCGCACAGGCGTGAAGAAAGGGGTAGGGCCTTTGACGTCATCGCGTGTGCTAGTGTGTATTTGCTAGCGTCTTGCTCTCGCAAAACTAGTATTAAGCAGCTCTTATGTTTAACTTTTATTCATGGTGGATCTTGATACTGGAATGTTGAATTTGAAAAATGTTTCTCTTAATAAAAGTATTTGAATTTTAGTTTCTATATAGTATTAAGTAATTTGTTTTTCTGTTAATTTTGGGTAACATATAGTAATAATCAAAGTGATGATGATAACATATAAACATACAGCTATCAAACTTAAATAAAACTATATTGCATTATAAAAAGCAGTAAGCAGCAACATAATTTGACAATTCTTTCATTGAATTACAAAATTGCATCGCAATATCTTTGCACAATTAAATAATAACACAGGTAATGTTATAATATTCCCTTTAAACTGAATGTCTTTGTGTGTACGTGTGTGCGCTTGCATAATATCTACCATATTTAGAAGACAGGTAAATTTTTTAAAATGTAATACAATTAATTATTTTATAAGGTACAGTAGAGCATCGATTATCCAAAACAATTTGGGACTGGGGTTGTTTGGATAACTGATCATGTATGAAAAAATATATTAATCTATCCCACATTGAAATTTTTCTCCGCTTTGTGTTGAATTTTTGTCAATGTTAAGCCCAATGAAAATTTTAAAAAAATAATCGTGGCTATTGTATTGTTAAAATTTATTTCTTTATTATGCACAAACAAAATAAATGTATTGAAAAATATAAAAACAAAAAATTATATTTCGGAAGTTAATCTAGTATCAAAAACATTCCAATTCAGCACAACACATGTCCTGACAACACACTCCTCAGAAAAACACCACATAAAACAAGCAAAACTCTTTCTTTTTCTTGGGTTTATCTGGAGATGTCAGCTGCTTATGCTATATTCTCAGCAAAACACACCATTTACGATGGGGAAAAAAGCCTTGTTCAAATACTTGTGCGTCCTTAAGTACTCTCTCGATGTGTGTTGTGCTGAATCGGAACGTTTTTGATACTAGATTAACTTCCAAAATATAATTTTTTTGTTTTCATATTTTTCAATATATTTATTTTGTGCAAAATAAAGATATAATTTTTAACAATACAATATGGTCACGCTAGTGCTGCCAGCTAAAAGCATGTGCATCAACAAAAATAATATTGTAGCTCAAGACATAGCCAAATACTGCAGTGCCACAGCACTAACAGAAATTTGAATTTGCCAACTGGATCACTTTTGGTTAACCGATGTTTCAGTTGATCAATATTCAGATAATCGATGCTCTACTGCAATGGTTCCCAATTAGTGGTATGCATACCCCCTGGGGGTATGGATACCACTAATTGGGAACCATTGCATGAAGGGGTACGTGCAGCAATCTAAAATTGGTCGATTTAAAATTTAAATGCATGAGATGAAGTAATCAAAAAAATAATAGGTGGACCATCAAAAATTCGGCAATTTACAACATGATGTCGAATGCACAAATTCGTTTATTTATAACTAAAAATATTCTCGAAATTTCATTTTAAAAAAATGCATTTGTGACAATACCTAAATGAAATTCTTACGCAAGAAACAAAAATTGTACAATTAACATTATTATCGTGTCAGCGAAGTGACAATAAAATATTTACTACCATTTTGCACAACATACCTCTGCAAGAGCAGATTTTCGGCCATGACAAACATGAAAACTAAACATTGTCACCGACTTCAACTTAAAGATGAATTGAGACAGAAGCTGACCAAAAAGCAATCAGATTTTACAAAGTTGTGCAAAGAAAATTGTGCACATTTGTTGCATTAAAATTAAATAACCTTATGTTATTTTCATTATTATTAGAATTGTATCTTAAAGGTAATAAATGTAAAAAAACTTATTCTATTTGTCACTAGCTGTCTACCCACAGCTTCGCTTGCATTATATCAAATTTTCTCATGGGAGTAAGATATTTTCTCGCAGTAAAATGTAGCCTATGTCCATCTCCAACATGTAAGCTATCTCTGTGCCAAATTTTATTAAAACCTGTTCAGTGGTTTAGACTTGAAAAGGTGACAAACAGAATTACCTTCAAATTTATAATAATAATATGGATTAATATGAATTTCTGCTGTAAGGGGTATGCGAGTTTTTGCTCTTTCTTGAAGTGGTACGCAGGAAAAACTAATTGGGAACCACTGCTCTACTGTAATTTCTGTATTTGAGTTTGGTCTGTTTAAATCAACTTAAGCACACAACTGGAATTTCAGTATAACTATCACGCACCTTTATTACTGTGGAGTTTAATTTCTCTGATTAATTAATGACAAATGTTTACAGCTGCCTTTGTTGATTGTCGTCATGTTTAATGAACAGCACTGAGTAGAATTTCTTGTAGAGTTGTTCACGAATCTAACATCCAGTATCAAATTCAAATATTATAATGAAGCACTTTGCATAAAATTCTGCTGAAAAGATTTCCATTCGGTTGATGTTCGATAAACCTGAAGATGGCTGGCGAATGCAGCCAAAACAAATTTAGTTGTCCATTAATCAAAGAAATTAATCTGCCAGAGAAACAATGGTATATGGTAGTTATTTAGCCTGAGACTGTTGCATGAGTTTGTACTTTAAAATGTTTTGTGTTGACTTTTGTTTATGATGTGAAGATGAGGTGAATTATCCCAAAAATGTTAATACATTAAATATTTTCTGACTCCCGAGACTTTTTCAGTGTTTTTTTTTTGTGTGCAAATTTCAAAATATTGATGGAATTGACAAATCTTTTGAACATATTTCTCACTTATGTGAATGCTTTATATGGCATATAGCCACTGTGCCAAACTGCAGCTCGTGAGCTGCAAGTGGCTCTTCTAGAGCCTTATTGCAGTTCTTGTATATTTTAAATAAAAATATATGAGTTTTATAATGGTATTTCTAAAAAATACCATTTTAGAAATCTCTCCATTTTGTCTTTGGTCAATTTTCTTCTACTCTCTATTTCTAAATAAACAAACTTTAGATTCTTCCCATCCTCATCCTCATCACATAAATTTGTTTATTATTCTTCATACAAAAGACACAAGACTATGTCCAATAAGTAAAATAATCCACCATTCCCATAGAACGATAGGAAAATATTCGTTTAAAAACAATAAAATTTTAAATAAAATCATTTTAAAATTAAAATAATACAATTTATTATTATTTAATTAATATGTACTTGTTATTAAACAAAGCCAATAAATAAATAATTATAAAGTAAAATGTTAAAAAACATTATATTTGACTTATTCCTAAACTGTGCATACAAAGCTGTCGCCAGTTTATCAGATGAAGCCGAAAGTACAAAGTTAAAAGAGATCAAGAAGTTAGTCAGCGGCCAGAGCAGTTCTGGATCTTCAAAAAGACAAACAGATCTTTCAAAAGCCATAAAAAGAAAAGGGTATTTTTATATATTAAATTAAATTATATATATATATATATGTATAAACAAATAATCATAAGGGCCATCCATTAATTCCCGTTCTTCTCTTAAACTGTATATGTAATTAATGGATAACTCCTAATTTCATCGGTTATAATGTTAAAGTCTGAGAAAGAAATGTTTGCTTCCTATATATAGGTCTTCCAAAAAGAATGCTACCATTTTAAATTACTGTAATTGTGTTAATTATATGAAAAGTATGTGACATATACCAATCGAGAGTAACCATCCGAGTTTCTTCTCCTGTCTACATTCGGACATCTTGTCCTCTATCCGTCTTTATGTCTAGGAAATGCTGTAAGTGAAAATGGTGGCTCCACAACAGAGAAGGCACTCTTGTGTTATGCAGTTTTCAAAGTTGGAATCGCTCATGTAACACTAGTAATCTGCAAGAGCCGTAGAGTTGCGGCCACAGTGGAAAGAGCGACGACGGATATGCCGTAGCAAGTGTAGGAAGAATTTGAGTTTTGGTCCGATACGTGCCTTGCGATGCAAGATGCCTGCATTGAGAAATTGCAACGGGCAAGTGTAAAACTTCAATGGTTTTCCAACATTTTAATATACTTTATGTTAATTATTATCCGAGATTATTATAATTACAATAATTTAAAATGGTAGAATTCTTTTTTAAGACCCTATATACATATAACGAAATAAGCCAAACTAAACTAACTTTTTTTATTTTTTAATCGTCTACTCGGATGTTGCTCATTAGTAGTACGTTATACTGGTGTTTTATATTTGTTACAATAATGACAGTTAGTTCAGAAAAAACAAAATTTTTATTAAAATTTGCCTGTAGTAGTAACTTTTTCTGTACACATACACATATACGTGCTTCAGGCCAATATTCCCCTCATCAGCACTAAATACCCACTAAAAATAATTAAAGAAATAAATAAGATATTATGTATAATAAGATATTGTGTAGAAAGACTAGTGAAGATTTAATTTTAAAACAGGCTAAGTTAATAGAAACTACCATACAATTTGAAATGGAAAAATAATTAAATAATAGTATAAATTATTTAGATATAACCATCAATAGAACTGATAATAATTTAGAATACCAAAAATTTATAAACCCTATGCAAATACCAAGGGTACTTAATTATAAATCTAACGTTCCACAAGCTATGAAATTTAATATCTTCAAAATGTATATAGATAATATTAAAAAGAAAAGTTTATTTAATACTGGAAAAAATAATTTATTTAACGTTCTTTATATCGCAGGTCTGACAAAAAAATTAATTTAATGGAGGAAAAAGAAATAGTTTATTCATTTAATTGTGATTGCGATCCAGAAAGGAAATTGGGTATTAGAATAAAAGAAGGGAATCAAAGGGAATTATGCAAATTCTGCCGTTGCAGAACATTGTAATAATCACGCGCACAAAATTGATATAAATACTATAAAAATTAAAAAGAAAGAATCTAATAATTATAAAAGGCAGTTATATGAACATATAAAGATATAAAGAAAGAAAAAAATAGAATAAATAATAATTTAGGGAAAATGATCCACCAATCACGGGACACCATACCTGACGTTTACAAACAGCAAACGGTATAAATGATTGATGAACTCGCATTGATGACGACGATGTAAGGTAATGGCAAATGGAATTATGATGTAAGTTAAAATCTATTGGTTGACATTGTAATCTTTCTTAAAAAATTCATTAATTTATTGTAATTCTGCTTTATACAGAAAAATGAATTCGTGTAAATTGGTAATTGTTAATCTTGGAAATATAACCGACTTGTACTAGGTATTAGGATACGTTCTTACTGTAAGTTTTATTTAAATGATTTTAATGTTGGGTAATTATTATACACAATATCTTATTTATTTATATTCAAATATAAAACACTAGTATAACGTCCTACTAATGAGCAGTGTCCGAGTAGACGATTAAAAAATAAAATTAGAAATCAGGACAGTATGGCATTTTTAATTAAACTAATTAATCGTCGTTTAATTAAGATTTTATTGTGTATGCATTATGTATCTATATCTACAATATAAGAATATTAGATTATGAAGGTGTTTTAGCAAAATTTAATGATCCGGGAATAGCACAGAGTTGAAAATAATAGCATCTAGTGATGCCGCAATATTCATCCTCTAGTGACATGAGTGCCGAAGCACTGCTGCAGATACGCACTTCGGCCACACAGTAAACTGTTTTGCGAATTATTTCCTCTCGTTTATTCTTCTAAGTATGGAAGGTTGATGAGTTTTCTTAACTGACACTTAGCAGAACAAATGAAGTAATTCACAAAGCTATTTCTAGCAGAAGTGTGGATCTGAAGCAGTAGAGTTAACAGAAATCCACTAAATTCGTACCACCAACTTTATTAGATGACGAATCGTAGACCACATTGTTTGGACCAGAACCGTTCTGAATAATTCTAGTAACCGGGATGAGCCTAAGAACAACACCAATGCACTTTTATTACGATGCCTTTTTAGTATCCCTTTTCAATTTGGTACCCGAGGCAGTTGCTCTCTGCCTCAGCCCCAATTTTGAACAACTAGTTTTCTTAAATTGGGCAGCATTAAGTGATTAAGTAGATTAAGTAAAAGAGAGTAATTTGCAGATACAGAAGAGTTTCTATTTAATGTTTACAGGAAAGATTGTGTTAGTATTTGTCGGCACTTTGCCAGGGTTCCTTTGTTTAGAAGAGTCGAGATTTGACTGTATTTTTGTTTTTGCAAGTTGTTTGTCTCTGTATTCTCTTCATTTTGCACGCCAGTATTGTTTTTTGTACTATAAAATAAAATGTTTTTATTCAAAATTTCGTGCAAATATATACTTTATATTTTTATAATGCTTGATTGTATTTTAATTTTTACCCAATACCTTCACGTTATTTAAATTATGTATTTTATAAAATTTACAGGGGCGTCCTTTATGTCTACTTGACTTTTGACAAACTTTGATTCATTCAACCAATCGTGTTCTAACTCAATTTATCTTGTGTACTATGCAAATAACATTTTGCTTTGATCAGTCTTCATTTTGTTCTTTTGCAGTGATTTGCATTACAGTGTAAACCTGGCTTTACTTGTTAATGCATATTTTTCGTTAGAATTTCTGAAATTAGATTGTAAAACATGTATAATTAACTGAATTTTGAATTATTGTTTGCTTAGAATTTACCTCTGACAGTTTAGGACAAAATTTTGGGACCGTGATTCAAATCCGATGCTCATTAACTTGCACGATTGCCGTTTAGCCGGCCATGCAGTGTTGCTAAATCTGTAAAAATTATCTTGGTGTTCCGAATGTTGCAGTAGCCAAAATTATTGACTTTTCCTTGTGGTTAGGAAAATATCCCACGTTGCCTCAAATTATCCGTAAATCTGATAATTATATGCAAATTAGAAATAATATGGGGCCCTGTATTGTTTACATCTGCCCCAGTTTGTCTATTGTGGTTGTTGCCAATTGATAGTGATTATACAGGTGTAAATATTATCATATTATTATTTTTCCCCTGAAGATGGGTATTCACGTGAGCAATTTCACTGTATTGGGCTGGCATATGATCAGATCTCCACGTAAATTGCACTGCCAATATCTACTAAGAATCGTTTGTATGCCATCTGACAGAAAAAAGGAGAATAAATCAAAGATGGACGATGACGACACGACCATCTTGGTGACATACCTGTTCCTTATTTAAAAAATATAAAGAAAATATGAAAAATGATTAATAAATCAATTTTATCTTTATACTTTCCATCTCTTTTGTCAAAAAATCTCAAGAAAATCATGAACTACTATTAATTTCAAGTTACCATGTTTGCCCACCAAGCCATTTTATAGAAAATCACATCGAATCGTTTAATGTTTTTCTGTTGCCAATTGGCTGCCTCTGATTTGTGCTCGAGCATCTAAATTACGCACAACTACACAATTTAGACACTTGTTTATCTAGACTGTGCACGTGCAGTGAAATTGTTCGTGCGGATACTCTGCTGAAGCTTTGCCGGTCTGGAAAATCTGCCACTCTGGCACCAAGCTTGACAGATTAGTAAGGTTCGACCCATATTTCACAACGAGAAAATGTTCATTTTATATGTTGTTATACTGGATTTTCTAAAAGATTTATTATTAAAAATTTAATAATTAATCCTTTATTTTCAGCACCGAGAATGCTTCTCAAGCAAAAAAATTAAAGACAGACGAAACAGGTACGAAATACTTCCTTATTCATTCCATTCTTCGTGTGGATGTTGTTCTGTGCTCGGACCTATCCACAAACATGAAATTTTGTTAAATAAGAATAGTAAATTAAAATTTTGGTGAAAAAAAAAGAACCTGATTAAACTCATAAATTTGATCTGAAGGTTGGTAATTATGATGCCACAAACCCTTTAATTCCAGATCATGTTAATTAGTTTAATCGTTGTTATTATAATAGGAAAAATCTGGTTAATGAAACTTAACTGACCAAAACTCAAGCTTTGATTAAGTCATACAGCTTGTTGTTATCCCTATTGATCTAGAGTTAAACATTTTAAAAATTTAACTTCTTTTGGCATTATAAAAAGTTTACTTGTACAAATTTTGTTCATTTCTCTCAACAGTATATTACTATTGATTTTTGTCTATTTAAACTCTTTATAATGCCAAAAGACAGTTTCTTTATTTTTTTCTGTGATTTTGATGCGATGGGCCTAGAGTTATGACCCGAGATAGCAGATTTATGTCACGACTCTACCTCTGCAGCAAAGTGCATAAAGTCGTGCCAGTTGTGTAAACAGATCTTGCACTAAAATTATTCTATACAGAGACAAAATTTGAGAATATCATCTGCAATAAGAGTATCTTTTGGTGTTGGTACCAGTTTAGAGATTCTTACGTCTTCCGATTTAATGTATTTTTTCACTGGTCCCTTCAGATCTTCATAAACCATTAACGACAATATTAACGAATGACTAAGACAAAACCATTCTCACTTTGTTTCTAGCCCTTTAAATACTGAGTACATCATTTGAATATCTGTCAACCAATGTTCTATCAGACCACAGTGTACCTGAAGAAAGCCAAAAACGTTTGTTTCTAGCTGTTTAAATAATGAGTACAAAGTGAGAAAGGCTTTGTCTTACTTGTTAGTCATTTCAAATAGTTCTAGCTCCAAATGCATAGAACAATATTAACATTACCGCATTTAGCATAGGTTTAAGAATCAGTCGTTTAGTGACTTAGAGACAATCTATACTATTATATAGAGAGACAACATATTTTTCATTTGTGACCACTAACTGTGAAAACTACTGAACCAATCGTTACCAAATTTTAACTGTAGCATCTTTATGATCCCCGGAATGTTTACCACTAATCAAACCTACAGAGTTTTTGTTAATTAGACAAAAATCCATTGCAGTTTTATTTCTCTCTCTCTTCACTAGATGGCAACACACGAATTAATACTTTCTGTCTATAAGAAAAGTCTATTATTGAAGTTTACTATTATATTTGAAGAACTGACATTAAATTATAATTAGCAAAATCTTTGAGGAATTAAAAAAGTGACATCATCATGCTAGACGGCAGTACGTGTACTTATGGTGGGTTTTCGAATCGTTACGCATTAATTTCTGCAGGTAATTGTACAAAATACTTGAAATAGTTATTGGATTTATCTCAAGTGAATATTTTTGAGATTGATTGATAAATAATGCCAAGAGCTGCGAGAGCACAAAAAGGAAGAAAATGTTCTAGAGCTATTATTGTTCATAACTAGACAACGTGAATCTACAGCAGAGTGGTCTCAAAGACTGCAGGAAATACAGGAATAAATTAAAAGGCAAATTGTGTGTTTACACCTTTGCAATTTTTCCTGAAACAACCAATGTGTCTGCAGCGCACAAAGAATATTTCACATTTTCTAAAGAAGTTCTTTGAAATAGTACATTTAAGCAAAACAAAAAGTGTGGGTTACACAAACTGATTAATTTTATGTGGATAACTCAGCGTTATCTGTGTTTAATATCTGTCTATCCATTTTGTTAACTGATAACTGAATCTTTAATATAATGTTCAGGTTTTAAATTTAGAGAATGACTAAGCATTGTTTTTTTTTAATTTTTAGAGCAAAAAGATGAAAAAGATGTTACTCCAGAGCAAACTACAAGTAGCACAAAAGATGCCGATAGTTCTACGGTAGAAGACGCCACGGAGAGTTCGTTTAATACCAGAAACGAAGAAAACGCAGAGGAATCGGTAGCTTCCAAACCAAATAACGGATACAATACCAAACCAACCGAACAGTACACAATCACGTCCAGTTTACGGAGTATCGGAATTCTGCCGGGTCTGGGCGCATACTCAGATTCGAGCGACTCCGACAAATCATCAAGCAGCGACATCGATCAGGACAACGTCTGTTACGATCTCGTCGGCCGCCGATTACTTCGAAGTTCGAGATCGCACAATCACTCTTAATTCTATATAGCATTTACATTGTAAACAAATCTCGATAGTAAATTAAACGTTTTAAAAAATATACCATTTCGTGATTTTGTGGATAATTTTCGAACGTTACCTAAGTTATTTCCATTTTATTTTTGTAGTTTTGGATATAAATTTTACTATTATTATTTTATTTAAGACATTTTTATTTTGCTTACAAATATTATTCTCTAGAAGTGAGTTAAACAATAGGATGATAAATGAAAAGCTAAATGAGTGATTACAAAGTAGAATGTTGCATGTTTAAGTTGATTGACCTTGTTCTTAATGAGCAATTATTTATGGTGAAATTGTCACAACAACGCTGCAATTTTTAATTATCTTTTAATTTTAATAAAAAATTGCAGCTTATATGTTTAAATTCAGCGGGTAATCGCATCTGATCTGAGGTCGAGACCAATAGCAAACAAGTACCGTGAGGGAAAGTTGAAAAGAACTTTGAAGAGAGAGAGTACGTGAAACCGCTTTGAGGTAAACAGGTGGGCCCTCAAAAGTCGGGGGGATTTAGTCGGGACGCTAGCCGACGGGAGAGGCGTGGGCGATATGGCAAACCTTTACAGGCCAAGCCCACGCCGCGACTCCTGGCATGCCGACGCACTTTCTCCCGCCCAGTAGTACGCTGCGACCGGTGGAGTCTTGACCTCAGATCAGACAAAATTGCAGCTTTTGGTGCAAATTGAAAGTTTGTATATAGTTAAATCGGGGTCTTCAACCCCTAGCTTTCCATATTGTCTACATTTTAACGGTGTCTTAACTTTGTACATCGTATGTGATAAAATTTGAAATTACGTGACTTCTGGTCTATCTAGGAGTTCATATATTTATTTGGGATCTCTGGTCCCTAAGACAAAAATCAACCGGATATGAAAAGCTAACTGTTCTCAACATGAAGACCAATGACAGTGGGAATTTATAGGTCTGCAATTTGAAACTTTCAGCCCAATTACACTCAAAACTGAATAAACTACAGACCTACATTCTTATCTTTATGTGCATATAGAATAATTACATGGCATCCACAGTATTCATTATTGTGATGATCGTAGATGGATGTTAGTGGGGGGCAGAATTTTCTTTACCTTGTTTGAAGCTTAATTCCTGTGCTTTTTGTCGAAAATTTCTGAAATTTTGTAGGGAGGTTTGTTTATTATGGGGTTCAATGCTATTAAATTTTGTTGGTTAAAGGTCAAGAGATTGGGAAGATAATGGAGGTCACGTGTATCTCCATTACGGTTGGACGATTTTACATGTTATTAGAATATACAATTTTTTTTAAAATTCAGCTCTACTCTCAATAAAATGGCAAAAAAAGCTTATCATAGTTAAAAATATAAAAAGTTTTTTAAAAAAACAGATATATACAATAAATCAGGAACAAGTTGCTCAACTTTCCCAGCTACATTTAAAGTTTTGGTAGCACCATCTGCTATTTCCACACATTTGGCAATATACAACGTAAATCATCAGTGCATTAATTATGTAAGTTAATTCCATTTTGCTTTTATAGTTTTGGATTTAAATTTTACTATTATTTTATTTAAGACAGCAAAGTATTATAATAGTTATTTTCAACATATAGTCTTTTTTGACGAGGCATGCATCATCCAAAAGGACTATGTACGTTAGCCAAGTATTCACAGGAGCAATTTTACCATGCGATTTAAATGCTTTTAGCATTTATATCATATTTCTTTCAAATTTTTAATTTCTTTAGATTTTGTATTGTTTCAGAGCGACTGGTATAAACCAAAGATTTAGGGTGGCTGACCGGGTCGAATTTAATACACTGCTGCATGCACGATCTAAAATCGCACATAGCCGTGCAATTTGAATGCTTGAGCCGGATGTACTTTTCCATATACAAATCGGATATGGCCGACTGATAGCGTGCAAATACTGTTGGACAGTTTGACATTTTAAAAAGGGGGCTTGGAAGATGGATGCCGCAACTGATTAATAGAAATTTAGTTTTTCTGAATTTAAGTTTAATATTACAATTTCCATCCCTATATCAAATGTCAATTTATCATTATTTTTTTTTTTTTGTTTTCAGCAAAGAATGTGTGTGTGTGTGCGTGTTATCCATCTTTGATTTATTCTCTTTTCTGCCAGATATCATACAAATTGAAGTGTAATGGATATCAGTGACATTGTTTGTGGATAACCGGCATTGCAAAAGCAAAGAACAGTTGAATTTAAGGCTTGTCCAAGAATCATATTGGTGTTCTTTGATTCCATCTTGAGGTATTGGAAATTTATTTAGTCAACTTTTAATCTAGCAATTAATTATATCATCTATTCTATTTATTTAGTTTTAGTACTCTGTAGTTCCAAAGTAGTGTTTTTGTTCGTCGTGAATGTAGTTCACTGAAATTTTAGTATTTGCATTGAAATAACAAACCTAAACACAGGCTTCTAATCTGCAAGGAGTTCACATTCTTGTAAGTTGTCTAGGAATTCTCCCTGAGAACAACCTCTGTGCGAGCTGCAATCGAGTGTTGCCACTTTTTAGATTTGTCTTTTGGGCTTGTTCCGCTATGTCAAACAGTGTGTGTCCATGACGGACGAGCAGCCAGAAGAAAGGCTTCCTGCAAACAATGAGACATTGACTTTAAAGCATTGTTGCTTGAAAATGTTAGTGAATTACCTCCGTCACTTCTTCAAATCAAAATGACATTTATTCTGTTGGGAAATGGAAACGATGCCTCCTCACATATCTTGGTGAAAACACTTTGTATGGATTGCTTTACTATATATGTAACAGGTGTTGCCTACAGTGCAGAAAGCATTTGGTATATACACAATATATTTTCCACATGCGGAAACTCTCAGAGTGTTCCTTGTATCATCCCATAAACCTGACAAGTTATTTGACTGATAAAGTGCAGGAGACATCCTAATCACTCTGGTCATTAGCCTACTGCTCTTGATATCCAGAATCGAATCCAAGCAAGACAACTCCTTAGGAATTTTTCACAAGCAGTCGAGTCCTGTCAAGGGCATGTTTTGTCCTGTGGTATTATTTGTTCATTTTCAAGATTAAATGATCCCATCTTTCCTGAAGTGAATTATGAAGATGGAAAGCTCTATTATATATCATATAAAAAATCTTACCACTACTATCACACCTGTAAGTGGAATGTGTGGAGAAACCTCACATCCAAAACAAATCAGGTTTCTATGCTATGAAGGAGAGTCCCCTTAATTTTCTTTGGTTGACCGAACAACAAGTAATCTAATGTTAAATACTTTAATGCATTGGATGTCTGCTGTCTTGAAATGCAGACACCCAATATTTTCAAAGTAGTGACTTTCTGTAGTAATCTACCAGTTGTCACATTTACAATCCTCAGTTGTCACTCTTTTCGACTGTTATTGTCTCATAGCACAAGTCCTTTAAGTTGAATTAACTGGGAAAAATTGCAGATTCCTAAATTGATCTGCTTGGATGTAGTCGTAATCAAACAATTACAATTGAAAGAAGTAATTTTTTGGGAATTTTTTTTATTCTACTGACTATTGTAGCATTCACAAAAAACTCTAAAAACGTTTTTAAACTTTATTTAGCAGGAAAATAGATAGAAACTTTATACAACACGAAAATAATTTATATAACAATCGTCGGTCGCGGAGAGAGATCACAGCGTTAACACTTTTTGAATATAAAACAGTACTTGCGGATCCGACAGAATGGCCATGTGATCCACATTCTGGAATCCTTTGTGATAGACTTTGGCTTTCTGTTGGTCCTGCCAAAACAGGCAACCTCTGAGACTCCTCATGTTGACGGTGCCATCTCCGTCACCATAAGAAATGGTCGGCTGTTCTGAAAAATCTGCATAGTATAACCTGCAAACAAAAATGAAAGGTTTATACAAGTAGAAATTTAACTTGGTAATAATGAATATTACGTCATGTGAATTAATAATTAACAGCAGCAGTAATTTAGACTGATTTAATCCAGTATTTATTTGGCTTTTATATCGAGAATTGACAGTAGGAATGTTAACTTTATAGGTAAATATTTAAAATAATTATTTATATAGTCATCTGTCAAAATACCAGACAATCAAATGGAGAGAGCTCACAAGAAATTTGCCACCACAAGCTTGTCGTTCTTGTTGCAATGCCTGCTCGCCATATCACAAGGTCCGATTTTTGTCTTTGCCTCTCCCCGTGAGCTATTTTATTTGATCACTACATTAACTAGAAGCCACAAACAACATCCAGGGACAGTATATAGGGTTTCCATATAATAATGTACCAACAATTTTTGATGTAACTTAAACTCAAACATATTTTCCCTTGTACCCTCTTACCCTTCAATAGGTCTGTGATCATCATTTTTTCTTTGTTAATAGTCCATATTCATGCATAATGTAAGATAAACACTACAACTCTATTACCGACATTCCAACTCTGGGTTGGAACACTGACAATATACATGGTTATGGCACTTTTGCGTGCAATTTTGTAATCATTCCAAAACATTCTTCAGAAGTGGCTTGATAATGGGAAATTTAATACAGCCACAGAAAAATTTAGATAAACTTTAACTTGAAGATCAAGAGGTAAAAAAAAATTTTCCAAGTTAACAAGGTTTTACTGTGTTTTTTATATTTTAAATTAAGTTAAAATTCAATTAACTCACAATTTTGATTTTTAAAGAACAGTATTCTGATGACTTGTTTAAAAAACAAACCTCCTACTCAAAACTCTTGTAATGCCCACAGAATAATTTTTTCGTGGCTTTTTTTTTTTGCAATTTTCATCGAGTCCACCACTGAAGTGTAGGAGATGAGAAATAGGACCCGACATATCTGAAAATTCTTCAGGTTCTAACAAGATGTCAAAATTTTTGACATCTCAGAGAACATTGAACTCAAGATTATTGTAAGCGGCAGGCTGATAGATGGAGAAGATTACAGACATCTTAGTTTGTGTAATGTGATAAGAAGTTTAATGTATGTCCCACATTGATCCTACCATCTAGTATCAAAGCAATGTTATGAAAATGTACATGCAAGTATCTCTCCCAATTTTGGGCAAGAGTAAAGACAAAAGGATTGTTGCTCACATAAATAAGATAATGGACATCACCAAGTTTCTGATAGTGCTGTCTTTATATTGAGTGAATTTTTAAGACCATGAATTACCTTATATATTTCTCCCAACTTAACAAATAATCTAATAATACTAATAATAATAAAAGATTACCTTTCAATTGTGCTGACGTTTGCTCCGTGTAAACAATGTATCTCGACTCCTGGAGGAGTCATGTTGTGAATGAGTCCACGGACATCCTTCCACATTTCCCATCCCGTCGTGTAATTGATGTCTTCAAAAAACTGACGATAGTCGTCGACGGTATAATTTCTTTTTGGGGTGCTCACCAAGACATCGTCTTTGCTCCAGAATTTGTCGGAGGGAGCGACGAATGCCAAACTGGGAGAGCTTCTCTGTTCCGGTCTCACTGTCAACGGATTAATGACGACCACTCCGAGATTTTCACCTGAGTAGAACAATTATAATATTTAGACGATTATCATTCATTCACCTAACTTTTAAGTGAAAAAAATTATACTGTATTTAAATTTAATCTGTTCATAAACTAAAAATAAAGATTAATGCAAAGCTTTGATGTCATCTGTAATACCCCTTTTAATTTTTTCTAGTAAATTAAAATTTCCATTTTAAATATCTGAAGACCAAAAAGTGTGTTCTAATATTTTATATGCAGCACTGTACAGTAAGTGCTATTTGGTAAACTAGATTTTAATCCATTCTTCAGTGCAGCCTTAGAGTTGACCAATGCACAGGATAGAAATTACACTTCATCTAAGCCTCTACAATAAAGTTCATTTGGATTTAAATTCAGATGATTCTCTACAGCAGTACATTGAAATTTCATTACAAAAATTTCAAAGTATTTACTGTGCATTCTTGTTAATCCAAACTAATTATGTATAGAGTCATTTATACAGTATGTAACTTCACTAATCAAAAGAGGAAGCCAAATAAGGCTACAATATGTTACAGTTCACGTGTATAGTTATGTTAGTGTGCAGTACACATAGCAAACCCTCAATTTAATGGACTAATTATGGGAGAGAAACAAATGATTTTGATTAAGCAGAAATTAAGTAGCATGTATTCAAATTTGTGAACATGCTATTCGAATTCAATGATCAAAATGTAGGAAAAAAGATCAAAGATCACTTTGGATAACTGGTTTGTTAAATGGCCAGATGGCGAAGCAATTAAGGTGGCAGCCTGCCACTCTGATGACTTGAGATGACTTGAATCCAAATGAGGAATCAATCTCAAAAAACTTCCGGGTGGACCATCCCGATAAATTCCTGACATGTTGAACCATGTCCATTTATCTGGATGGACCCCAATATGCATGGGCTTTCTAAAATAAGTCCTCTTAGTATGCACAGGATGGGAAGGGTATACAAGAAAAAAATATTGGTATCTGTTGCTGTGTAAAGAACAAATTTTCATTTACATTACTTGTTTATTTATTAAAACAAACATTGAAATAGAACTATAGTGGAACCTCGCATAACGAGCAAAATAAATTGGAAAAATTTGACTCGCTTATTGAAGGATGTTTCACATAACGGGTGACAAGGAAAGGGAAAAATCCTGGATTGTGCACATGCTCCATTAGTCTGTGTTTAGCACTCGTTTTTCCAAACTTGTGTTCGCACATATTAGGAATAAACATCGACAATCGTAGTCCGTTATATAATAAACAAGCCATCTCCTACTAAATCTAATGACCAATTCCAAATTGAATTTTAGAAATGTCTAAATTAAAAATGACTTATTTAATAAGAGATGGCAGCATAACTGCCTACCTCTAGCCAAATTAATTTATTTCTAATATTTAATTATAGCCTTTACATAGCCCAAGAATTTGGTATAATGTTTGGCATCTTCATCAGACATATCTCTGATTTTTTTTTTTGTTTTCTGCAAATCGTATTTGCATTTCAGGTTGGTTTATTCCATGCTAGAAGAAAAGATGATGATTTCATGCTCCTTAACAATGCACATTGTACAATTTTCTTTGAATAAAAGTTATACATTAAATATTTGAATATTTTTTCGGCGTGGAACGCATTATTGTATTTTACATTAATTTCTATGGGAAAAACTGTTTTGCACTACGAGTAAGATTCTGGAACAAATTATGCTCGTTAAGCAAGGTTCCACTGTAAATGCTAGTTTTTTCATTTTCGTTTCTGACATTTAAGATCACAAATGTATGTAAGATCAAAGATACAATTAAAAATAAATTGATCTTACCAGAAGCAAATACTTTCAGTGCTTTAACGGCTCCGCCCCAAGCTCCGGCAAGCGAAATTACTCCACTAACGTATTTGTCTTTCCACGCTTGACTCTGCTGATTTAATAAATAGAGAGAGACAGGACATCCCATACTATGACAGATTATGTACACTTTCTGTCTACCGTTCATTTTGTACGTTTCCACTATGAGATTTTCTAAATTTTCTAAATAATCTTTAAGTTCATCTAGTAAATATAAAATAAATAAATAAACATGGGAACAAAACATTAGCTATTTTTTTTTTTTATTTTGAAACACAATACTCACTTGGAGCTTTTCTAAAATCATATGGTGCACCTCTGACATCTACGCCTCTCGTATAACCTTTACTTACTAACATATTCACAATGGCACTAAAGTAAGTACCTGAAACAGATTATTTACTTTGTTTATTATTATACATCAAATTATATCAAATTTTATTTATTTTGCATATATACAATGTATTTTTTTCTTTCCAAATTTGACCCTCAAAACCAGCCCACATCCTGTAAGGTAAAGGTTGGGTTCAGGATCAAAGTATCCTCCTAGTTTAACAATCCAAATGAATTCAGATGTATATATATATAATCTAATGCCATTGCTAAGGTATCTTGTGTGTGCATGCATGCAAGTTCTGTTTTCTGCAGTCATTACAAAATAGGAATTCATGGTATATTTGCACTATTTTCTGATTGGATGGTACAAAGAAGTTTTAATGGCAAACACAATTCAAACGTTCAGCAATGTTATTTATTAATGTCCATACAAGTTCATTCTGATGAGAAACTTGTCACTATTGTGCACACTTAATCGCGCACTATTTATTATCCACATAAATATATAATTATAGTACTACTACTTTCCGGCACGTGGTTTACTACTTCAAATTAACATTTTCAGCTGCTTAAGTGATCAAAAACATTTGCTTAAATTAGTAAAGTACAAGGTGGAAAGAAGTGAGACAGAGAGTACTTTAATTATTGTTTCAGCTTTGTTGATATTTTTATATAAATATATAATTTCAGCATTAAAATTTGGACTGTTCGGCTAGCAATTTCACTCTCTCAATATAACATTTTGTTTCCATTTTATTGGTCGGTTTGTAATTCAAATCGAGCACTTAATTAGGAACGTCTTTTGGCACCGCTCAATGGTGCCACCCGTGCACCCTGCTGCACATTATAAAAACAGGTAATTAACATAACATAATATGATAAATAATTTACATGTACAGAAAATTAGTTTGTTATAAAAAGGAAGAACTTACAAATGAATGAAAGTCCATCCTGTTTGTCATTACACAATCAAAATTCAATTACTATGATTTGCTCACGTCTAAAATGAACATGAAACTGAATGTAACATCAAACTGAAGTATATCAAACAGTAATTATGTACAGTAACAATGTCTACACAAGAGTGAGTGAAAGAGTCATGTAATTTGGCAACAATATTCTTGTTTACAATTCAAAATCATATGTTTAGTAATTCAAAGATAGTGAAGAGGTCAAAAATTTAATTCTAAATATATATACAGCTGTCCCTTGATAGTACGACGTTTTGTAATCCGACATGCTCAGTAGTCCGACGCACCTCCCGTCAAGGTACCCGTCCCCGTTACGTGTCTGCTTGCACAGAAGCATGTCGCGACGTGAATCTCCCCACCCAATTCTTACACGATGACACACATTTCATGTGTTTTCCATGAGCAGTTCTGTTCGAACAGTTGGAGTAGGGAATATTGTAGGCTACTGCTAGCAAAACAATGCCAAATATGTAATCATTTTCGGTAATCCGGACACTTTTGGTAATCTAACACCTCTTTGGTCCCATACCTGTTGGATTATCAATGGACAGCTGTATTCCAATTTAGGAGGTGCAACTGTGATAATTTAATACAGTAAGTATTGCAATAACGAACAATGACCGAGAATGTTGAATATTAGAAAATTCTTGAGAATTCCATAATCCCGAGTCTGCAGGTGTATAGGAACACGACCAGTAATTCAGGGATCCAAAACTTAGTTTAATTATGTTTATTTTGGTTGATTACATACATAAATAGATCCATTTCAGGCAGACTTACATTTTACAGCTCCTCATCAGTAGGAAAGGTTTAAAATTTTTCTAGAATAAATATTTTTCAGCTGCCTTAAAGTGATGTACTCTTAAGTGACGAGATGTTTGTCGTACCGAGTTTAATGGAATTTACACACGTTTATCTTGTTCTTACTCAATTTGTTCACTTTGTTTCTGTGTCTTGTTTAAATTTATACATAAAGTAACAATAAAGATTTTAAAGATAAAATGAGACCTTGAAGCATGCCACGAAGGCAAATGAAAGAAAGACGACAAACAGCATTCTCTATTTGTGGCCGGGCCAAAAAAGTAGGTAGGGTGTCAAGCCCTGAGCCTATGCCAGACTACCTCCAGTCACTTGTCGAAAAAGAGGTCTGAGAGAGATCTGAATCGCACAAACTAAGCGAAAACTTGCCACTGCCAACATTCGGTCTCGGCTTGTCTACTTAGCAGAGCAACACCATATTACTAGCCCACCGTACACCAAAATTTAATTAAATTTGACAAAATTCAAAGAAAATATTTAAAAATCCAACATACTTACTCGGAGATATTTGACTCGGATCTAAAAACTCTACTGTCGACGTATTTCCAAATCCAGGAACTCTGATATCAACTCCCGGAGCATTTGTCGTCATCCTGGTTTTGTTATCGTAAATTAGCCTTCAAGAACAAACAATTAAAGATTCACAGACATTATAATCTTTAATTTTCAAAAATAAATCAACAGATAAAATTCACTTACCTCATATTATCCACCCAACAATCTAAAACATAAGGCAACAATAATTCTAAATTCAACCATAAGTCAAAATAATTATCTGTCTTTTTATTGCAAAAATAATGAACAACTTCTGGTTTATCCAATTTAGCTTGGAGTTGGCTACCTCCATCTCCTGGCACTAGAAAAAACATTTTACCATTATAAATACATTCTTATTGGCTATAACAGCTAATTAATACAGTAGAACTCTGATTATCCAAATTAATCCATTCTGCAGGTGATTCTGATAAGTAGATTAACATATAAAGAATGATATTACAGGATAGCAGTACAGTATTCTGCATGTACCATATTTATTTATTCATCGATGCTTGAGTAGCATCCTACTGATCATTTGGATCTATTGTGGCAAACTGCAGTATTGTGTCGCCATTTTTCTTAATGTCAAACAGTAGTTGATCCCACATCATATTTTTCAACAATGTTTCCCAAATTCTGTTCCTCGATGTATTGACAATATTGGCTTTTTTATCACGATAAGAACGATGCAGTTTCGTTTTTGCATGTTTACAGACACAATCAGAGTCATGTTCACAATGAATGTAAGAGAATTGCAGTGTGATATCAGTGGGGGGGAGAGAGGAGAACAAGCAATGATTTAGATAATTGGATGTTCGATTAATTGGTGTTCTGATAATCAGAGTTCTACTGTACTAAGAAATTTCAATTAGAGATAGCAATTAAACTTAAATGAGATTCGGCTTAAGCATTAGAAATAAATTTAATGCAGTTGGCCTGGAGCAGAAGTGGTACCAAAATGCCACTTCCACTTACTGTGCAGCTGCATTGGACATGATACCCAGACATCTGTTCTACCTTTGCTTTCGGACCAATTTAGGAGATATAACCATACCTTTGAGAATCAATGTATATATATAGGAAGGTGCCAATGATGGTTTTCTATATACAGATGTATTTATCCTGCCAGTGCCCTTTTATATATGAATATCCAGGAAATGGACATGGTGTACTTGTTTGACTCCCAGCTTTACTCCTACTTTGTTCACAATGATATTGACAAATGGAATGAGACAGAATTCCACAAAGAATCCAACTAGCATATCAATGTATCTGAACATAGCAGAGATGTATTTAGTAAACTCTTGCACTACACTTCAGTACTACTACAGTCTCAACAAACACCCAAACTTTGGCACATTTACCCACAACAAACCAAATAGATACTTCCCCTCATTCGTGAATAAATCTTCCCATTAAATGTAAGACAACAAACAGTAGACTCCTTTAATGAAATAGCATTTTTGTATTATTTGTCATGTGTACTAGGATGGAGTCAAAGATACTAAACGTTGTACTAGGCGTTACCAATAAAGTAAACCAGTTCCATACTCATAATAACTGAAAGGAGGAAGAACGGACTAATTAATGACAAACAAGGTACGAAAGAACTATGCATGTCCAAAAGTCAGCGAGTCAAGATAAATACGCCCCTAGATTTCAAATAAAATTCTTTAAATGTCAAATTTTTGGGCTCTAATTTAGTTAATTTTAATTACCAAAACAATCAAGTCTGAATAGCCGGGAGCTATAGGGGAATCTCTATCAAACCACTTCCTCAACACAGGTATTTAAACCCGATCTCAACATCTGAGGATGGCTTATAAAAGTAGATTAAGATCTTTTAGCTTAATCTAGTCAGGGTTTGACACCAGGTAAGATAAAAATTTGCATCTTACCTTGCAATAAATTTGCATCTTACCTCTAAAAAGGAGGGCTAATTTATATGAGCGAGGAGGTTGAAGGTAAGTGATAGGAGTCCGATCTTTAAAGAAAGTTCCAATAGACAGCTTAACAAATAACAACTAAAACTTTAACGGAATGACAAAAATATACATAAGAATACAGTGACATGGTATCTAACAATCTATCCATTCTATTCCTAACAGAAATATATATTCCCTAACAGAGAGAGAGTTTATAAAATATATTATATTACCTCACTAATAACTTGTCTTATACCAATTCTGTTTGATGGGCGGAAGTTCCAATCCCAGGGAGTATGGCACACAAATTCGTAATAAGAGGATACTAGACGATGTGTGCAGATTTTGGCACATATCCCTTATTTATATCCCAGATCATATCCAATGGAGATTTGGATATTTTGTCATCTGACAATAATCTGTTTTATTAAACATGTAGTCATCCAATGAATAACTACTTTTGAAGTAAGTTTTTGAAGGAAGTAAGTTGGTGGGAAAAGGAAATAAACTTCCTTAATTCCTCTCCTTTTTTCTTATAACTGATAAAATGCTCAATTTTTGTGACTAAATATTCTTTCGAATTTGTACAATAATTAATAATATTTAAAANCATCTCTGTCATTAATCAGTGTATACCTGTATTAGCTATGCCAATGGTTCCCAAACTTATTACGCCTGTGGATCCTTTCTCATAGCAAAAACTTGACCATGCATCCCTGAAATTAATTTGAATGCCATCAGTGGTTCCAAGGACAGGCAGGGGTCCATAAGAACCACTTTGGGAAGCATTGAGCCTAATTTAAACTACTCAATATATTTTTATAAAATTAATTTCTTAAAATCTTTCATCTATGAAAGAATTATAATTATGTATGCTCAATTTTTAACTTCTAAAATTACTTTAATTAATCATTAAAATGATTTATCTTAAAAAAGTTTTTATCAATAAATTACGCTTAATCGTATTTTAGACTTGATTTCTAATAATAAATCTCTCCAATTTATCTATAAATAAACATCGTGTTAAAGAAATTACCTCATTTTTTAAGTTTAAACATAGTAAATTTACACAGTAAAAACAGAAATCCGATATTTTATTTATTTTTAAATTTAATAAACAACTTTCGGATGTCTGGTTTATTTTCAAATTCAATAATACCAGTAAAATAGGGCAACTGATACATATTAATATTTCATATTAATTAACAAAATGCGTTTTAGAACAGCAATTCTCAAACGCATCCACCAAGAAAATTGGCACACATCTCCAGGCCAAATCTAAATAATTCTCTAATCCAAGATTCAATTTTGCAACTGTTATTTATGCAAAAGATACATGACAAAATAAGCCATTCCCTCATTAACTAACTCCCGAATTCATTAATTAAGTAGCATTGAATTAGCTACTGTTTGCATCGGACGACAGACCTTGGATTGAAGTCCATCCTGGACCATAAAATCCAAAACCCGAAGGAAAACGAAAGCCGTTATAAGAGGTCATTAATCACACTTTCGTGCAGATGTTGCATTGAGTCGTATTCTGTCACTACACGTGCAGCCGTGAAAGAGTTATTCTAGAACAGTTTTTCAGAAAACAATCTGTTTCGTATTATCGGTTTTAAAACAACACCTGTCGTACGAATAATTAAAATATTATTCTTTTACCCTAGTAAACTAAAAATTATTATTGTATTAAAATATATAAAACAAACTGTAGATAATAAAAATTTAAGATAAAAGATGACTGTCAATTTTCTGACATCTCTTAGTCCAGAAGAATTGAATAATGATATTTAAAATTTCCAGAAATGCCATACTCATTTACCGAATGACACAGATTGTATTTTTCATATTATCTACTAATTTGCATTGTTTACAGTTGTTTAGATTCCTTTATTCTATATCAGGGCCGATCAAACCTCATCACGACAGGAGCCATACATTGCCTATCAGAAATAAGAGAACTGCATTCTCTATTGAAACTGTATTTTATATAGAAGAGCCATATGAGGCTATCGTACGGCAGTCTGACCACTGTGGTTCTATACAGTTGTTATCTAAAGTTTAGGTTTAAGTAAAATGAACTAAGGATTTTAAAAAAAGGTGTGCCGGTGATATCAAATGTAAACACCAACTGATATTTAATACATGCCTAATTTAAGTAAATACTTTACCGATATAGAAAGCATGCGATTAGTGGTCCAGGACGTACAATTGATTTATGTAACTTTGGTTTGATAAAGCTTTGTAACTAAGCATGTCATAAAAAAAAAAAATATATCAGCACTGAACCTGTAATTAAATTTTCACATTTTTATTGTTCTTTTATGGTCTGTAACTATAATAATTAACCCCCCCCATATATACAGATACAAAAGTTTGTATTAAAATAGAAATATCACTATGATTATTAAAATAAAACCTTTCGTATAAACAAATTTATCCTTCAATTTAGTCTGACTCATAAATTTCCGCTTCAATAAATTTATTGTCATGAAATGACAGCATATTCAGTGAAGCATTATGACAATGCAATAAATATAGTCATTTTGGACAATATAATTTATCGAAGCATTACAATTAGACCATTCAAACAATTCCTGTTTATTTTTTACCAAAAATATCATTTACGATTAACAACTACCAAACTGCTTTTGATATTTAAGAAGTCGGGCAGAACGTAACCGATTAAGACGTTTGAGATCTAAGTAAAAGTCAGAATTTTAATTGACTTGAGCTTAATTAACCGGGTTATTTCCAGGCTACAATAATAATAGATAAAAGACAAAAGGTTTAAAAAGCCTCAATTTATAAGGTTCATCATGCATTTCACAAGAGATTGCTTTAGAAATCTGGTATCTTTCTTAAAAGTTAAGACTTCTAAAGAAAATATGGCAGACATTGTGGCTTGAAGAAAGGAGAACCCGACATTGGTCAAAATCAATTGTAATGCCATCTGAAAAGCAAATATAGTTCTTGTCAAATGTAAGAAAATCCTTGATTAAACCTGTAATGAGCAACCTTTCTGGATATGGGCCACAAGTGAACTTTGTAGGATACTGACCAACACTATAACTGCCAGTATTGTAATTACTAATATATATGCAAACTAGTAATTACTATATATAGTTTATTCTCATCTTTTTACCAGTCAAATTTAGTTTAAATGTTCTTTGTCATAAATATAACCTTAGAGTTGCGTAATGGACAAGGGAGAAAATGGGAAAACAAAATACATTGTAGGCCTAATAGCATTAAGGGCAGCATATTAGGAATTCACGGAACACACGTGGCTCACGAGCTACTCTTGACAGATTTAAACAGATGACGAACCAAGCATAGTTGCTTTACTATCTTTTAAAGCAGAATTATACTCACTTATATTAGATGACTG